CAGTGCTTTCTATTGGTTAATTGACTAGATAGCTATTGCCCTTTCTAGGGGTTATCTGAACCGGCAGAAATCACCTTGTGTGTGGGTTATCTGAATAGGCAGTGATTGCCCTTTCTGCTGGTTACACCAGTAGGCAGCGATGGTCACATATATCGGCTATTTGACTGTCACCATTTCCAGCCTAGGCAGCGTTCGCCCTTTCCAGTGGCTGTTTGAACAGGAAATGATTTGCTTTTCCTAGGGTGTGTTGACAGTGCAGCTGGCAGCGAGCCTCCCAGCCTGGGCAGAGAGACAGGTGCTAGCCGGGCTCAAGCTGGGCACTGAAAACAGTTGTGTGGATGTTGCAGCTCAGGCAGATTCTCAGGCTAGTCACCTGAGCTCACGCCCACCCAGGGATCGCTCTTTCTGTGGGTTATTGCACGAGGCAGACGTGCCTTTTCATTGGTGATCAGAATAGGAAGCAAATAGCGATTTAATCTTAGAGTAGGCTGAGCTCACCCCTTCTGTGAGTTATTTGACTAAGAAGCTATCACCCTTTCTGTAGGCTGGTGGACAAGGTAGCGATCGCCCTGTGTCTCTTGGGGGAATAGCAGCCCTCTCCCTTTCCATGGGTTGTCTGACAAGGCAGTATTGAAGAGGAGCCACCAGAGAGTATTGGTTGGAACGCTAGTCGTCAGGCAAGGAGCTTTGGGAGAAGTTGAGCTTCCCGGCTGGAGGCAGGTTGTCCTGTGACCTGGCTGGAAGGGACTCTAAATTAACTCACTCCTGGGCTGACTTGTAATGATCACAGTCCGAGTTTGTGAAGTCTGCAGTGGAGCTGTGGCGGCTGGGTTTTCCCGCAGTGGCCTTTGAAGAGCACCTGCTGTATGTACCAGAGGACAGGACCCTTGGAATAAGGGAGCTGAGGTAAAATTTCCAAGTGCAAAGCTTGGTGATGGTGGCAGCTACCTGACCGGCAGGTATAGGACACCCCAGGCCGTAACGAATCTGTTTGCCCTGTCGGTGGGTTATTTCAATAGGCAGCAATCAACAATTTCTTGCAAATTTTTGAATTGTGAAGTTGTTCCCTGTTTATGGGGGTTTCAAACTGGGGGGGGGGAGAGGGAATTTAAAAATGTTCACAAAATATTTCTTTGACATTTTGAATGTTTGTTTTTGCCACTGAGTGCTCGACAATGTCTTTCCACTTTCTTCTTTCTCTTCCCTCTCCCACCTTTTTTCACTGTAATTTTCTCAACATTTCGATAAGTTACACAGTGAGAAAAGAAAAATGAAAAAAGGGAAAGGAATACGGGGGGGGGGGGGGAATCTTAGGAAAAAATATCCCCAAGGGTATTTGTTTTTGGAAAACAGAAAGCAAACCAAAAACATCATTTTATATTGTTTCAAAATTTTTCACTGAAAAATCAAAAACTATCCCTGAAAATAAAATGTTACACCAAAGCTGTGGTTCATCTTCAGCTTCCTCCCATTTCTTGGTGGGAAACATTTTCAGACACAAAAATGCCGCCCAGCTCCAGTGCTCTGCTCTGCCCCACCCAGGCGAGGCGGGGATTCTGTCCCTGCGCAGGGATGCTGCAGGCTGTTTGCGACACACCGTACAGAGGAGGTGCCCGTCCCTATTACATTCCATAGGTACGAAGCGCCCCATTAAGGTTTTGTAGAACTCTCTAGGCTTCGTCTCGATACCATTTATAGGACTGTTCCCTAAGGACCGAGAAAGACAATGGGAGTTGGAGAGTTTAGGCCCCTCACTGGATCAAACGCTTACTGCTAGCAGAGAGAGGTCTAACACGATCCAATGGCTGGAAGTTGGAACTAGACAAATTCAGACTGGAGATACGGTGTAAAATGTTAACACTGAGGGGAATTACCCATTGGAACAACTTACCAGGGGCTGGGGTGGATTCTCCATCACTGGCCAGTTTTAAATCAAGACTGGCTGGTTTTCTAAAAGCTCTGCTCTAGTGCAACCAGGAATTAATTCAGGGCAGGTCTCTGGCCTGTGCTATGCAGGGTCAGACTAGATCAGTGGTTTTCAAACTGCAGGTCGCGACTCAGAACTGGGTCGTGGAATGCCAGGCACTGGGTCGCGGCAGCTCTGGTTTGGCAGTTAAAAGTCCAGTTGGGGGTGCTGCCCAACTAAGGTAGGCTGGTCCCTACCTGGTCTGACACCGAGCTGTGCCCCGAAGCGGCCAGCAGCAGATCTGGCTCCTAGGCAGGGGGGCCATGGGCTCTGCACACTGCCCCCACCTTGAGCCCCTGCTCTGCATTCCCATTGGCCAGTTCCCGGCCAGTAGGAGCTGGGGTGGGGGGACGTGCCTGCCGGTGAGAGTCGCGCGGAGCCACTTGCGTGCTTCTGCCTAGGAGCCGGACCTGCTGCTGCCCGCTTCCAGGCGCAGCGCGGTCTGCGGTGCCAGGACAGGCAGGATGCTGCCTTAGCACCCCCATGACACTGCTGATCGGGAGCCACCCAAGGTCAGCCCGCGCCCCAACCCAGCACCCCAATCCCCTGCCCCAAATCTGAGCCCCCCACAAACCCAGAGCCCCCTCCTGCACCCCAAACCCTTCATCCCCGGCCCCATCCCAGAGCCTGCACCCCCAGCCCAGAGCCCTGACCCCCTCCCGCACCCCAATCCTCTGCCCCAGCCCAGAGCTCCCTCCTACACCCTGAACCCCTCATTCCCGGCCCCACCCCACAGCCCTCACCCCTGCACCCCAATCCTCTGCCCCGTCCTAAGCCCCCTCCCACACCCCAAACCCCTCATCCCCAGCTCGGTGGGTCGCGGGCATCAAGAATTTTCTTCAACTGGGTCGCCAGAAAAAAAGTTTGAAAACCACTGGCCTAGATGATCACAGTTCTCCCTCTGGCCTTCACATCTCTGAACCTGTGGGTAAAACCCTGGCCTCACTGGAGTCAGTGGCCAGCGGCCATCTTGGAAGGAGAAGGCTCCCTGCAGCCTGGCACACATAGTTGACTTTTTCCCTGCACGGTTGAGAAAATCCCCTTCCTTCGCAGGCTGCAGTCAGTGGTGACCGGCCCGGAGTTGCATTTCGAGTTACATAGGTGCTCTCTGTGGGCAACAGCTCTGGTCTGGTAGGGCGCTGACCAAGGCCATGTGGTCTGAGGCTCAGAGACTCATGCTCCTCGGGCTGCTGGCTGAGTTTGGTGAGCACAGTACTCCGCCAATGTCCCCACTTGCAGCCCGTGGGGCTAACGGACTGGAATCTCACAGCCATGGCACAAGCATAGCCTGGTGAGCCTTCTCCCAGAGAGGCCAGGCTGTTCACCACCCAAACTGTGTATAACTCCTGGCTGTGTGAGCTCCCAGCACACAGATGACCAGTAATGCAGCCATTGATGCCTTTTGCTTCTGTTTAGAGTGCTGAGGAAACAAAATCCCGCCGTCGCCACTGCCTAGCCAATTATCAGAAAGCTCTCATGGCCGACAGGTGCAGGCCTGAGCTTGGGAGAGCTGGTTCTAGTCCAGGCTGAGTCTGTGGTCTCTGAGCAGGCTGTGCTGTACCTTAATTTCCCTGTCTGTGGAGCACGCAGGCAGGCAGAGATCAGCGCACTAACATGGCCTCACAGCTCAGCCTGCTTATCTTATCACCAGTAAGAGCCCGGCAGGCATGTCCAGGTGCCGATGGTACCGTGGGGCATGTGGAGACAACTAGCCCTAGGGACTGGTGGGTTGCTAGAATCCTGTAAAATGGAGTCTCCCCAGCACAGAGCTCACAGCAGCATCTGGCCAGAGAGCTCTGTTTTCTGTCAGGGCCGTGTTGATGTGGGAATGCCTGGAATGGGCTCAGGGAAATCTGGTCTCCACATGTTGGCTTGCAGGAGGAGCGAGAGCACTCTCCACCCACAGAGGCATGAGCAACAAAGCTCTGACTCACTTTGATCCCTGCACCCCAGCCCCCTCTGACTGGAGACGGCTCTGGTGCCAGGGGAGAAACACCTCCCCCCCCGCCCCGCCCCCCCCCGAGTGCTCTGGTGGCGCTCAGGCCCACAGTTTTTAACATGGGCTCAGATCAAGTTGTCTCAGGCTGGGCACCAAAAATGGAGATTCCTGAAACCAGCAGCCTCTCTTCAGCCTTTGGGCCTAAATCTTCCTTCTTCTCGATCTGCTCCTGCCAGAGCCCTGAGGGGCTGGTGTCCCCCCCAGATACTGGGCTCCCCAGGCCCTGCCTGGCTCACTCTAGAGATGGAGCAGGCTGCCCTGCTCCCTGCAGCCAGGCTACTGGAGTTCCGTATTGACGTGTGGTTTGTCCAGCCTTGGTTCATATGTCCCATGTGATGGGGCTCCCAGCCCTTCTCTAGGAGACTGTTCCACTGCAACATGTTGCCCCTGCTCCCCAGTGGCAATGTTCCTCTCCACATGCTGCCCCAGCCCCCTTGCTGACCTCAGCAGGAACTCCCAAAGACTGACTCCACCGAAGCCTCTCATTTGGCTGTGGCCAGCACTGAGCCAAGAGGGAGCAACTCTCACTGCAGAGCCTTCCGGGGGCTCCTTGCTGAGCCTGCGCTGGGGGACATGCTCAGAAACATGCTCTGCTGGGAGGTGGGCTGTGGGAAGTGCCGTCCTCGGCCTGGGGCAGAAGCTCCCCAGAGCATCGGAGAAGTGGCACCCTAACCAGCTGGGAGGGTTCTGCTGCCACTATCAGGAGTGTGGGGCCGGGGGTCTCACTGCCTGGCGCTACCCTGGCCCAGTGGCTGACAGGAAGTGGAGTCTGCAGGCGCTTGCTGCAGGAAGAGGTGGCTCTGAGACAGTCTCCCTTGGAGTTAAGCTTGGACAGCTCATGTTCCACAGAGTGCTAGCAAAAGGGGCACTTCTGAACTGGAGCAGAGCTGGGCTTCGAATGGCGTGGCTGGTGTGCCGGTCTTGCTTGGCAGTGGCAGGGACACGATGCCCCGGGCCTGCAGGGCAGGTGGGATGGAGCTCACACGCACAGGCTGCTGCACTCACCGCCCGTCCCCGTGTGTTTTTTCTCGCTAGGTGGCTATGGGCTGCCCTACAGCACTGGAAAGCTGCCTTACGGTGAGTGCTCTTTCATTCTCTGCCCTCCCAGGATAAGGTCAGGGCCATCTGTGACTTCCCCCTTCTAATCCTAAACGCAGCTTCCCAGCAGAGACGAGGGATGAGTCCATAGCCATTGGATGAGTCCCTAGCTGTTCCAAACCTCAGAGGGGTCCGTGCCGACACCTGTCCAGGGTGGCCGATGGGAGGAGTCTCCTACTAGCTGAGACCTGTGGCCAGCCAGGCTGTGAGCTGGCACCAAATCCCCGAGCAGCTGGTGTCTGGAGAGGCCAGGCGAGCTGACAGAGGTTTGCACAGGGCTGCAGGCGGTTCGGGGGCTGCTCAGATAGCCCATGTGAGCCCTGCCCTTCCCCCAGCTGAGGGAAAGCTCTGCCTGCTCACACGACCTGGCCTCCCACCTTGGGAGGGTCTCAGGACGCACAGTGCCAGACACACCAAGCAGAGAGCACTGGGGCTGCTCCCTGTCATGCTGACAAGCTCCTAGCCTGGAGATGCGGGTGCTGAGCACTGCTCCCCCAGCACAAGGCAGCTTTTACCTCTCGGGCACCCGCTTCCCATCCTCTTGTTCAAAGGGGTGTCTCTGTGATCCCTGCCTGCCCAAGTGACCCCTGGGGCTGTGGGCAGCTGGGACCAGGGCAGCGCTGGTGGCCTGGCATTGGGGAGGGTGAAGGTGGCTCAGAGCTGCCTTTGTTCTGCCCTGCTGTGGTCCTGCAATGAGTACAGCTCAGCCAGGCCAGGGACTCTGGGCCCAGAAGCTGTCACTGCCAGTGCCTGCTTCGCTGGAGTTGACTGTGCAGGGCTGTGGCTCCACGTCCCTGCGCCCATAGTCAGCGCTGGCCCCAGGGCTGCCAGGCAGAGAAGGGACGGTGCTGTGACCCACCTACAGTGACCTGGCCACATGTGCAATCGAAGCCCCAGCAAGGTCAGCAGCCAGACCAGGGGCTCCATGAGGAGAGCAGGGTTTGTTGATTGCTGTACTTTGTTACCTGAGACCTGAGTGCAAGTCTCCCCTCCTGGAGGCCCATGCACCCTCCTGCTCCCCGTGCAGAGCAGCGGCCTCCCTGGGCCAACTTGCAGGGGAGGAAGAATGCTGACAACTGTGCACATCTCCCAGTTGGAGGCTGGCCCAAACTGGAGCCGTCTCCCTGAATTCCTGGCATCCCGGCAGCGCAGGGCTGTAAGCCAGATGTCCTGAGGCCCCAGCCTGGCTCCCTCCGGCGGCTCGGTAAGCTGAGCACTGGCCATCCCCGAGGACATGCCTCACGCCTCAGCCAGCCTCACTCCAAGACGTTTGGAAATCTGGCTCCCACCTAGCAGGACTCTGCCACATCCCCAGGCTGCCTTGGCATGCCCTGCCCTTTGAGCTGCCCTGCTCCCATCACAGCCTGCCTTGATGGGACGGTCTAACAGAGTCCTCTGATCTTTGTGGTTGCAGGGTACGGACCAGGTGGGCTAGGTGCTGGTGCTGCGGGAAAGGCAGGATACCCAACAGGGACAGGTGCGCTGCTTGGCCTCTTCCCAGGGAGCAGCTCTCTGAGCCGAGGGGGCAGCTGCCTAGAGCCTCCCACGCTCTTTGGCACAGGAATGGGGCCTTGAGCCAGGCCCTGCGACTGGCCAGCCAGCCTTCCTCCCAGTCTGCTCAGGCTGCAGGCCGCTCTGTGGGGACGGGCATGGGGCTGGCTCTGGGGGAGGGGGTAGAGGGACTGGCTTTGGGGGGAGGGGGAGAAGGGGCATGGGGCTGGCTCTGGGGAAGTGGTGGGCTAACTCAAGGGAGGGGGAGTGGCTGGGGCAGGGGAGAAGAGTTGACTCTCGGGGGAGGGAGCATGGGGCTGGCTCCAGGGGAGGGCGAGGTGCGTGGCAGTAGGATTGCTCTCAGTGTGGAGGCCAGGTGTCTGGGCGGTGGCCAGGGCTCCTTGACTCTGTGCCTCTCCATGGGGGAGAGGCCAGGTTGCTGCAGGGAAGGCGCCTTCACAGACACCAAGGACGAGTTCCCCTCACGTGACAGGCAGACCCAGGAGGGTCTCTCTGGCTCAGTACGGGGGTGGCCAGGGTTTGGAGGGTGGCCGATGGGGTCTGGGGGCGGCTGTTCTGCAGGCATGTGATGAAGTCCAGATCTCTGAACGTCTTCTTATTTGTGTCTCCAGGAGTTGGAGCTCAGGTAGCAGCAGCTAAAGCAGCAGCTAAATATGGTGAGTTGCCTGAGCCTAGATGCCATGGTGGTGGGCATGGGCCAAGATGCTAGAGAGTGGCACTGCGGAGCCTGCACCACCAAAGGGAACCGAGTGGTGTGTTTGGCAGGAGCCAGGCGGGTAACGGGCTCCCTTGGGAAGGCAGCATGGAGACGGATGGATAAACCTGCTCTTTGCAGACCCCAGCTCCATCCATGGGCAGCAGCACCAGGGACCCCTGTTCCCATTCAGCCTGCGAAGGAGCCACGGCTGCTGGAAACCCCAGCCCTGGGGTGCCATTGTGGGCTAGAGTGTACGTGAGCAGGAGGCAGGGAGTGATGGGGCATCGGGGCCAACCCACCTTGGGGCTTTCCAGAGAGCCAGAGCGAAAGCCTGAGACCCCCACCCTGACCTGCCAACCACAGCTCTGGGGTGTGCCCCTCAGACTGTCCCTGCACCACCCAGTACAGCCCGGCAGAGCCCTCACTGTGAGCCATGGCACTGCAGAGCAGATGGGGCCTGCAGCTCACAGCATGAGGCAGTGGGGAAAGCCTAGGGATGTGAGGCTGGGAGTGCCTCAGGGTAGGGTTAAGGTCCCACTGCAGGACCAGTGAACCCAGTTGGAGATCCAGGAGAGGGGTCCCCTGAAGGCCAGGTGCTGGTGTCCCACTGGACTTCCCCTGCCACCCGGAGGGGGTGGGCAGCATGTGTGTGCTCACGTCCTGCACCGCTCTGGCCGGCGGGGGCATGTGGGCTGCTCTGTCCCAGGCCTCTTTGGCAGCAGCGCCATTGTGGTGTTAGACTCAGCAATGATACAGGGCAACAGGGACTAATGGGCCCAGCACGTCAGCCTGGGCACGCTGCTCCAGCCCTGCGCTGCCATCCAGGCCTCGCGTACAGCTGGGAGAACGTGCACCATGAAGGACGTAATGACTGGTGTATGGGGCGACACAGTGTAGCCAGAGAGAAAGACGTTCTCTGCGAGACCTGCCTGGATGGGGGGCTGGGAGGCCTGGCCTCACTGTGCCGTTCCACAACAGGCAGGGGCACTGGTAGGGAAGCCTGGTGAGCGGGGCCCCTCCGGGACACTGCGGGCAGCTTGCTGCTCCATTCACTCTGGAGTGGACCCTGACTTTGTAACCCTGGCCACTGATTCTGCTGGGATTTGGGCCGTTCTGCACTCCCTGCACCAGAGTGCTGATGCTCGTCTGGCTCCTGTGCTCTCTGCAGGTGCTGGTGTCGTGCCTGGTGCTGCTGGCATCCCCGGAGTCGGAGGTCTCGGAGGCCTGGTGCCTGGCGTTGGGGGTCTCCCTGGAGTTGCAGGTGTCCCAGGGATTGCAGGTAAATGTGCTTGACTAGCCCAGCCGATGGGCCTGTGAGGCTGCGTTCCCCATCTCAGAGCCTGCGTTCCCCATCTCAGAGCCCTGACTCTCTTCCCTTGTGACCCAGGAGCTGGAAGCCAGGCAGCAGCAGCAGCAAAAGCAGCAGCGTATGGTGAGTGGGCTCTGATTGTTCCCCGCAGGCCCACTGGGATGAGCAGCTCCTAAGGGCTGGCTCTGGCAGTTGCTGGCCGGGAGGTGCTGCGTCCCTCTTGTGGCATGCCTGGCACAGAGTCTCTGTGATGAATCAGCACCGTAGGGCAAACAGCTGAGCCATGAGACCTTTTCACCTGCCCTGAGCCCACAATCCATCTCCCCGGGACGGACCCACCCGGAGCAGTTTCAGAGGACAGAGGATGCCACGGCCCAGGGTAGGCAGGACTCAGCCCTGCCCCAGGGACAGCTCTTCTCTGTCCTGATTAAAGCCAGGTTACCCAGCCCTGCAGGGCAAGAGAGGGAACGTTATCCCCTGCCTGCAAAGGGGGATTTCTGCAGCCTGATGGGATATTCTGCATTTGTTTCCTGCACTAGAAGGGCCTCTGATATCAGACTTTAAAGCCATGATGTTTCACAGCTTTTTTTTATAGCTCCCTCTGAGACCTGCACAGCTGAGCTCATGGTAACCCAGGCTATGGCTACACTAGACAGCTTACAGTGCAGCTGTGCCACTGTAGGGCTGCTAGTGCAGATGGGAGAGCTCTCCCGTCCCTTGAATTACTCCAGCCCCTGTGAGTGGCGGTAGCTATGTCAGCAGGAGACGCTCTCGGGGGTCACTGAGGAGGTCTGTGCATTCACACTGGTGTAGCTCCGAGCAGATCTGCACCAGCGGAGCATTGATGGGGAGGAGAGCAGCTTGTCCGGGTAGATTCCATTCTGCTAGCTGTGTGTTGTGATGTGTTTCCCCAGGACCTTTCAGCTCCACGACAGCAGCTGCTTTCTCTTGGGAGTTGGGGTGTGTGTGTGCGATCTTTGCTTTTGGAAAGCCCTGCTCCCAGGCAGTGTTGTGTGTGAGTGTGCGAGCGATGGTGAATGTGCACGAGACACAGCTCTGTTTCCCCTCCAGCAGTCAGCTAAGAGGCACCCCTGGTTTCAGTGGGGGTGCACACGTCACATTCGTTTCCTCAGCAACGCTGGGCGCCGGTTGTGTCTAGCTGCAGTAGGGTCCTTCGCACGGAGCACCCGCGAGCCGCGGCATCAGTGCAGTGCACTAGCCTGTGCACAAAGGGCTCCTGCTCCTCACTCCTCAACCAGCTCCATTGATTCACAGCTTGTCAGCCAGAGGACCTCTCATGGCAGCTCTGAGTACAGCACTCCTGAGGGCAGGCAATGCCTGTTGCCCCACGGCACAGGGAATCCTTCCCAGGCCGTCAGCTGAGTTCCAGCACAGCTGTCTTGCCTTATAACCGCAGAGGCGAGGGCAGGTTCTCCTCCAGTATCACCAGAGTCGCTGCTCTGGAGTGACCTGCTGTGAAAGGTGCAACCAGGACAGTCAGGGCCATGGTGCGCGGCATGCTGCAGGATCGGAGGGTCCAGCCCACGAACGCTTATGCCCAAATACATTTTTTAGTCTCTAAGGTGTCACAGGTACTCCTCGTTGTTTTTGCTGATACAGACTAACATGGCTGCTACTCTGAAACCCAGCTCCAGCCTGGCGTCCTGGCTCCCAGGGCTTTAGCCCAGAGCGCACACAGAGATGTGTCCCATCCCAGGCTGGGATAGGCTGGCCCCACAGAGCAGTGGGAAGGCTTGAGCTTGGACATCTCTCCCAGCTTTCTCCTGCAAAGGGTGCCCCGTGTGGGCAGCCCTTTTCAGTCGTGGGTGTCCAGGGTGGATTTGGATGGAGGCAAAACTCCCTGCTCGCTCCATCGTCCCTTTGTGGTGGTGATGGCACTCCAGAACTGGTTCCTGAATGGAGGCCTAGGAGGGGGCACCCCGGAAGTGGGGCTTCCTTCTCACTCCAAAAAAAGCTGCCAATCCAAGCTGGGCTCTAGCCGCACTGGTGAAGCAGGATGTTTCTGGAGTGAGAGGCCAGTCTGCTCTTCATGCCTGCCCAGGACAGAACAGGGCGCATTGTGACGAAGTGGGACTGTTCTTAATGTTTCCTCTGAATAGTGTGGGGGTGCCTCAGTTTCCCCTATGCAGTTCTTAAGTATCTAGGGGGTGGAGTAAGGGTGTATGATCGTTGCAGAGCCCTACAGAGCAGGTGTGTGCAGGGGTCTGGACACAGAGAATGGCCAACACCCTGTTTCCTGGCAACTAATGGCCTGGGCCCTTCCCCCCTGCAAAGGGTTGGAGCTAAAGGGTTGGAGAACAAAGGAATCAGGTGACCTCCTGGCCCAGGAAAGGGACAAAGCGCAGAGGAGGAGGGGCTGGAGGGAGTTTCAGTTTGGGGCTGGCTGGGACATGGAGTGAAGTGCAGATGTGGTTGTCTGGCTCACTGGCCCCAAAATGTACCCAGCTAAGGGGTCCGGTTCTCTGCACCTACAAGCTCTGTGTTAGACCATGTTCCTGTCGTCTAATAAACCTTCTGTTTTACTGGCTGGCTGAGAGTCACGTCTGACTGTGAAGTTGGGGGGCAGGACCCTCTGGCTTCCCCAGGTCCCCGCCTGAGCGGACTCGCTGTGGGAAGCGCACGGAAGGGCAGAGGATGCTGAATGCTCCGAGGTCAGACCCAGGAAGGTGGAAGCTGTGTGAGCTGTGTGTCCTGCAGACAGGCTGCTCACAGAAAGGCGACTGCCCCAGAGTCCTGACTGGCTTCATGGGGTGCAGTTCCAGAGCATCGCCCAGGGACTCTGTGACACGCATGGTCTCCGTTTTCCTGGACTTCCCTCCTCTCCCCTCAGAGGACTGGTTCTCCTCCCTGTGCTCTTACTTCATGCTGTGTCTCACTCCAGTTGCTCTCTGCAGGTGCTGGAGCCCAGCCAGGGCTGGTGGTTCCCCAGGCCTGGTGCCTGCTGTCAGTGCAGTTCCTGGTTTGGTGCCCGGTATTGGGGGCAGCCCAGGGGCTGCAGGTGTGGCAGGTGAATGCGCTTAGCTGGCTCTGCCGATGTGCCTTCTGCGTTCTGTGTCTGTGTGGTGTCAGGTTTCTGAGATTTCCTCTCCTTCCTTTATCCCCAGGAGCTGGAAGCCCAGCGGCAGCAGCAGCAGCAAAAGCAGCCAAGTACGGTAAGATGGCCTTCAGTGCACACAGAAACATGAAGAGTCCAATCCTCCCTTTGTTATGGCCACATAGTTGCCCTTCTTACCCAAACTTGTATTCTCATCCCAGACAATGCCAGGCTTCTTTCACAGGCTCTCTTCTCTGTAAGACCATACTAAATGGCATGCTGCCATTTTTAATACTTTCCTAACTGCATTCCATATCAGCCCTTCCATGACTTTGCCCAGGATTGATATCAGGCTACCTGGCCTATAGCTCCCCAGGTCATCCCACTTTCCCATTTAAAGACTGGCACACATTGGCATTTTGCTAGTCTTCTGGGACTTGCCCAGGTCTGAAGATTTATTACATCAACATTAACAGCGCTGGCACCTCCTCGGCCAGCTCTTTAAAACTCTTGAGTATAGGTTATGCAGTCCGGCACATTTGTATATCTTTAGCAGTTGCCTTTTAACACCCTCCCTAGTTCCTGGTGGAGCAGATGTTTTATTCCCTTGGAGAATGAATTCCTGTCCCATCGGACTGTCTCTCTAGTATATTGCTGAGATGAACGGGCAGGATGGTGCAGGATGTTTACAGTGCCCCTTCCTTTGGTGTGTCTGACATGATGGGAGTGCACAGCAGCAGAATAGCACTGGCCCGGCTCCACTGGGCACTTAGGGTATTTGCGTTGACCGGGACTGGGTTTCTCTCCTCTAACTCTGCAGGAGCGGCTGGTGTTGGAGGCCTGGTGCCCGGTGTCGGCGGTGTCCCTGGCTTGGTGCCCGGAGTCGGCGGTGTCCCTGGCTTGGTGCCCGGAGTCGGCGGTGTCCCTGGCGTGGTACCCGGTGTTGGCGGTGTCCCAGGAGTTGGAGGTGAAGTTGCACAATTCGACTGACCGATGGGCCTGTGGGGTTGTGTTCTCCCCGTCTCAGAGCCCTGACTCTCTCTCTACTGTGTCCCAAACAGCTGGAATCCCAGCAGGAGCAGCAGCAGCAGCAAAAGCCGCCAAGTACGGTAAGCTGACTCCCTCCCCCTTCTCCCTCCGTGCAGCCCATAGTGATGGGGTGCCCGCCTGTCACTCCTGGAAGTGGGTAGCTACTTGGATCCGAGCCCAGAGACAGTCTGTCCCTTTGGGAGCAATCAGTGGAGCCGCTGGCATGTCTGGGATATATTCACATCCCTCCCCTCCCCGTTCCCCATGGAGCTTCACCCTGCCCTGCAGCACGTGGCATAGAGAGCTCCTGCCTTTGGTCCACTGGTGATGGGGAGCAGGGTGGCCAGCGAGCGAGTTGGGAGCCCAGCTCCGGCTACAAGCCAGGCTCCCTGCAGCCAGTAGAAAGCATGGGGAAGCTTCAGACAGTGTGACAGCACAGAGCGTGTTCCCCTGTCACTCTGGGCAGGCTGCTGCCCCACGGCTCAGTTTGGAGGGCTGCGGGCGAAGCCGTTTGGGATGTGCCGGTCAGTGAATTCCCAGAGCCCCTCGCCAGGGCCCGGGGCATGTTCTTTTCAGCTCTATCATCAGCCTGTGTGAATCCACTTCATGCATAATGGCCTCAGTTCCCAATCCATCAAGCGCACACTGCAGCATGCAAGAAGGAAGAGAAGGGCCATGGGGAATTCCTGGTGTAGGGGGAATCTGTGCGGTGCAAGGCTGGCTGAGGTGGCTTCACTGACCTCAAGCCGGCACTGCCATGTGGTGCTGGGTGAGGCAGGGGGTGTGCTGGGGGAAAGGAAAAGGGGTCTCTGCTGAAGGAGGGACAGGGTACTTCAAGTGAGGGAGAGGAGACGTGTGTCAAGGTGTGAGAGAGGAGGGCTGTCAGGAGAGAGAGGGGAGGGTTGTGGGGGGAGGGGCGTGTTGGAGTGAAGGAGGGGGTGTCAGATGAGCCAGGGGATGGGTGATCAGGGGAAGGGCATGTTGGGATGGAGGAGGGGGTGTCAGATGAGGGAGGAGACAGGGGGTCAAAGTGAGCAAAAGGAGGGCATCTCCCAGAGCTAGGTTCTGCTACAGATGATTTCCCACTGGCACTTGGTCCCAGAGGGACCTATCGCCAGCAATGTAAATTAAAGTTTCCCCCCTGCACCTTATCTTAGTCTGGGGCCAAGTGCTGAGGACCTGGGAACAAAGACTGGCCCCCGTTGGCCTCCCACTTCATCTGCACTCTGACCGGGCACCATGAAGGGTCCAGTCCTCCCTTTGTTATGGCCATATAGTTTCCTTTGTCTCCCTAACTGTAGGGATGACATGGATGCTGCTATCCTTAATACTTTCCTGACTGCATTCCATATCAGCCCTTCCATGACTTTGCCCAGGATTGATGTCAGGCTACCTGGCCTATAGCTCCTCAGGTCATCCCTGGACTCCATGACTGGAGTACAGGTGTGGAAGGGCATGTGCTGTTCAGGAAAGACAGAAATAAAGGCAAAGGTGGTGGAGTAGCATTGTATATCAATGACGAGGTCGACTGTAAAGAAATTAGAAGTGATGGAATGGATAAGACAGAGTCTGTCTGGGCAAAAATCACATCGGGGAAGAAAGCTACTTGAGCGGAGGTGGGCAAACTACGGCCCACGGGCCACATCCGGCCTGCGGGACCCTCCTGCCCAGCCCCTGAGCTCCTGGCCTGGGAGACTAGCCCTGGCCCCGCCCCTGCTGTTCCCGCTCCCCCGCAGCCCCAGCTCACTGCGCTGCAAGCGCGATGCTCTGGGCAGGGGGTCTGCGAGCTCCTGGGGCCTGGCCTGACCCAGTCTCTGGGCTGGCTCCAGCCGGGCAGCCTGGCTACCTGTCCTGGTGCAGCCGCACCGCCAGCCACCGGTGCTCCAGGCAGCGTTGTCAGGGGGCAGGGAGCCGGGGGGTTGGATAGAGGGCAGGGGAGTTCGGGGGGTGGTGTTCCGGTGGCGGGAGTATGGCTAGGGGTCGGGGCGGTCAGGGGATGGGGGGTTGAATGGGGGCAGGGGTCCCGGGGGGGGGGGAGTAGTCAGGAAGGAGAAGGGGTTGGATGGGGCAGGGGTCCAGGGGGCAGTCAGGGGTGGGGGTTTTGGGGGCGGTCAGGGGACAGGGAGCAGGGTGGGGTGGATGGGGCAGGAGTCCCGGGGTGGGCAACAGGGGGCGAGAAGCCGGAGGGGGGGAGGGATAAGGGGCTGGGCCACGCCTGACTGTTTGGGGAGGCACACCCTCCCCTAACCAGCCTCCATACAATTTCCGAAGCCCAATGCAGCCCTCAGGCCAAAAAGTTTGCCCGCCCCTGCACTAGAGCCTCCCCTGGGATAGTGCTTGGGGTGTGCTATAGACCACCAGGATCCGATCTGGATATGGATAGAGACCTCTTTAATGTTTTTAATGAAGTAAATACTAATGGGAATTGTGTGATCATGGGAGACTTTAACTTCCCAGATATAGACTGGAGGACAAGAGCTCATAATAATAATAGGGCTCAGATTTTCGTGGATGCGATAGCTGATGGATTCCTTCACCAAGGAGTTCCTGAACCGACTAGAGGGGATGCCGTTTTAGTTTCAGTTTTGGTGAGCAGTGAGGACCTCGTAGAAGACACGGTTGTAAGGGACAACCTTGGTTCGAGCGATCATGAGCTAATTCAGTTCAAACTGAATGGAAGGATAAACAAAAATAGATCTGTGACTAGGGTTTTTGATTTCAAAAGGGCTAACTTTAAAAAATTAAGGAAATTAGTTAGGGAAGTGGATTGGATTGAAGGATAATCTAGGCATGACCCAATATCTAAACAAATACTTTGTCTCAGTCTTTAATGAGGCTAATGAGGAGCTCAGGGATAATGGTAAGATGACAAATGGGAATGAGGATATGGAGGTAGATATTACCACATCTGAGGTTGAAACCAAACTCGAACAGCTTAATGGGACTAAATCAGGGGGCCCAGATAATCTTCATCCAAGAATATTAAAGGAATTGTTACATGAAATTGCAAGCCCATTAGGAAGAATTTTTAATGAATCTGTAAACTCAGGGGTTGTACCATATGACTGGAGAATTGCTAACATAGTTCCTATTTTTAAGAAAGGGGAAAAAAAGTTATCAAGGTAACTACAGGCCTGTTAGTTTGAAATCTGTTGTATGCGAGGTCTTGGAAAAAATTTTGAAGGAGAAAGTAGTTAAGGACATTGAGGTCAACGGTAAATAGGACAAAATTCAACATGGTTTTACAAAAGGTAGATCCTGCCAACCCAGCCTGATCTCCTTCTTTGAGAAGGTAACAGATTTTTTAGACAAAGGAAACGTAATGGTTCTAATTTACCTCGATTTCTTTTAGCAAAATTGGAAAAGATAGGGATCAACATGAAAATTGAAAGGTGGGTAAGGAACTGGTTGAAGGGAAGACTACAGCGGGTCACACTGATAGGTGAACTGTCAGACTGGAGGGAGGTTACCGGTGGAGTTCCTCAGGAATCGGTTTTGGGATCAATTTTATTTAATCTTTTTATTACTGACCTCGGCACAAAAAGAGGGAATGTGCCAATAAAGTTTGTGGATGACACAATGCTGGGAGGTATTGCCAATTTAGAGAAGGACTGGGATATCATACAGGAAAATCTGGATGACTTTGTAAACTAGAGTAATAGTAATAGGATGAAATTTAATGGTAAGAAGTGTAAGGTCATGCATTTAGGGATTAATAGCAAGAATTTTGTTTATAAGCTGGGGACGCATCACTTGGAAGTAACAGAGAAGGAGAAAGACCTTGGAGTATTGGTTGATCACAGGATGACTATGAGCCGCCAATGTGCTATGGCCGTGTAAAAAGCTAATGCAACCTTGGGATGCATCAGGCGAGGTATTTCCAGTAGGGATAAGGAGGTGTTAGTACCGTTATACAAGGCACTGGTGAGACCTCACCTGGAATACTGTGTGCAGTTCTGGTCTCCCATGTTTAAGAAGGGTGAATTCAAACCGGAGCAGGTACAGAGAAGGGCTACTAGGATGATCCAAGGAATGGAAAACATGTCTTATGAAAGGAGACTCAAAGAGCTTGGCTTGTTTAGCCTAACCAAAAGAAGGCTGAGGGGAGATATGATTGCTCTCGATAATTTTTCAGAGGGATAAATACCGGAGAGGGAGAGGAATTATTTAAGCTCAGTACCAATGTGGACACAAGAACAAATGGATATAAACTGGCCACCAGGAAGTTTAGACTCAAAATTAGATGAAGGTTTCTAACCATCAGAGAAGTGAAGTTCTGGAACAGCCTTCCAAGTGGAGCAGTAGGGGCAAAAGACATATCTGGCTTCAAGACTAAGCTTGATAAGTTTATGGAGGGGATGGAATGATGGGATAGCCTAATTTTGGCAATGAATTGATCTTTGACTATTAGCGGTAAATATGCCCAATGGCCTGTGATGGGACGTTAGATGGGGTGGGATCTGAGTTACTACAGATTGTCTGGCTGGTGAGTCCTAGGTGCCTGGCTGGTGAGTCTTGCCCACGTGCTCAGGGTTTAACGGATTGCCATATTTGGGGTCAGGAAGAAATTTTCCTCCAGGGCAGATTGGCAGAGACCCTAGGGGTTTTTCACCTTCCTCTGCAGCGTGGGGCACGGGGTCACTTGCTAAAGGATTCTCTGCACCTTCAAGTCTTTAAACCATGATTTGAGGACTTCAGTAGCTCAGACATAGGCTAGGGATTGGTTACAGGAGTGGGTGGGTGAGATCCTGTGGCCTGCATTTTGCAGGAGGTCAGGCTAGATGATCATAATGGTCCCTTCTGACCTTAAAGTCTATGATTCTATGATTTGATGATTCTATCCCACTTTCCCATTTGAATACTGGCACACATTGGCATTTTGCTAGTCTTCTGGGACTTGCCCAGGTCTGAAGATTTATTACATCAACATTAACAGCGCTGGCACCTCCTCGGCCAGCTCTTTAAAACTCTTGAGTATAGGTTATGCAGTCCGGCACATTTGTATATCTTTAGCAGTTGCCTTTTAACACCCTCCCTAGTTCCTGGTGGAGCAGATGTTTTATTCCCTTGGAGAATGAATTCCTGTCTCATCGGACTGTCTCTCTAGTATATTGCTGAGATGAACGGGCAGGATGGTGCAGGATGTTTACAGTGCCCCTTCCTTTGATGTGTCTGACATGATGGGAGCGCACAACAGCAGAATAGCACTGGCCCGGCTCCACTGGGCACTTAGGGTATTTGCGTTGACCGGGACTGGGTTTCTCTCCTCTAACTCTGCAGGAGCGGCTGGTGTTGGAGGCCTGGTGCCCGGTGTCGGCGGTGTCCCTGGCTTGGTGCCCGGAGTCGGCGGTGTCCCTGGCTTGGTGCCCGGAGTCGGCGGTGTCCCTGGCTTGGTGCCCGGAGTCGGCGGTGTCCCAGGAGTTGGAGGTGAAGTTGCACAATTCGACTGACCGATGGGCCTGTGGGGTTGTGTTCTCCCCGTCTCAGAGCCCTGACTCTCTCTCTACTGTGTCCCAAACAGCTGGAATCCCAGCAGGAGCAGCAGCAGCAGCAGCAGCAGCAAAAGCCGCCAAGTACGGTAAGCTGGCTCCCTCCCCCTTCTCCCTCCGTGCAGCCCATAGTGATGGGGTGCCCGCCTGTCACTCCTGGAAGTGGGTAGCTACTTGGATCCGAGCCCAGAGACAGTCTGTCCCTTTGGGAGCAATCAGTGGAGCCGCTGGCATGTCTGGGATATATTCACATCCCTCCCCTCCCCATTCCCCATGGAGCTTCACCCTGCCCTGCAGCACGTGGCATAGAGAGCTCCTGCCTTTGGTCCACTGGTGATGGGGAGCAGGGTGGCCAGCGAGCGAGTTGGGAGCCCAGCTCCAGCTACAAGCCAGGCTCCCTGCAGCCAGTAGAAAGCATGGGGAAGCTTCAGACAGTGTGACAGCACAGAGCGTGTTCCCCTGTCACTCTGGGCAGGCTGCTGCCCCACGGCTCAGTTTGGAGGGCTGCGGGCGAAGCCGTTTGGGATGTGCCGGTCAGTGAATTCCCCGGGGCATGTTCTTTTCAGCTCTATCATCAGCCTGTGTGAATCCACTTCATGCATAATGGCCTCAGTTCCCAATCCATCAAGCGCACACTGCAGCATGCAAGAAGGAAGAGAAGGGCCATGGGGAATTCCTGGTGTAGGGGGAATCTGTGCGGTGCAAGGCTGGCTGAGGTGGCTTCACTGACCTCAAGCCGGCACTGCCATGTGGTGCTGGGTGAGGCAGGGGGTGTGCTGGGGGAAAGGAAAAGGGGTCTCTGCTGAAGGAGGGACAGGGTACTTCAAGTGAGGGAGAGGAGACGTGTGTCAAGGTGTGAGAGAGGAGGGCTGTCAGGAGAGGGAGGGGAGGGTTGTGGGGGGAGGGGCATGTTGGAGTGAAGGAGGGGGTGTCAGATGAGCCAGGGGATGGGTGATCAGGGGAAGGGCATGTTGGGATGGAGGAGGGGGTGTCAGATGAGGGAGGAGACAGGGGGTCAAAGTGAGCAAAAGGAGGGCATCTCCCAGAGCTAGGTTCTGCTACAGATGATTTCCCACTGGCACTTGGTCCCAGAGGGACCTATCGCCAGCAATGTAAATTAAAGTTTCCCCCCTGCACCTTATCTTAGTCTGGGGCCAAGTGCTGAGGACCTGGGAACAAAGACTGGCCCCCGTTGGCCTCCCACTTCATCTGCACTCTGACTGGGCACCATGAAGGGTCCAGTCCTCCCTTTGTTATGGCCATATAGTTTCCTTTGTCTCCCTAACTGTAGGGATGACATGGATGCTGCTATCCTTAATACTTTCCTGACTGCATTCCATATCAGCCCTTCCATGACTTTGCCCAGGATTGATGTCAGGCTACCTGGCCTATAGCTCCCCAGGTCATCCCTGGACTCCATGACTGGAGTACAGGTGTGGAAGGGCATGTGCTGTTCAGGAAAGACAGAAATAAAGGCAAAGGTGGTGGAGTAGCATTGTATATCAATGACGAGGTCGACTGTAAAAAAATTAGAAGTGATGGAATGGATAAGACAGAGTCTGTCTGGGCAAAAATCACATCGGGGAAGAAAGCTACTTGAGCGGAGGTGGGCAAACTACGGCCCACGGGCCACATCCGGCCTGCGGGACCCTCCTGCCCAGCCCCTGAGCTCCTGGCCTGGGAGACTAGCCCCGGCCCCGCCCCTGCTGTTCCCGCTCCCCCACAGCCCCAGCTCACTGCGCTGCAAGCGCGATGCTCTGGGCGGGGGGTCTGCGAGCTCCTGGGGCCTGGCCTGACCCAGTCTCTGGGCTGGCTCCAGCCGGGCGGCCTGGCTACCTGTCCTGGTGCAGCCGCGCCACCAGCCACCGGTGCTCCAGGTAGCGTGGTCAGGGGGCAGGGAGCCGGGGGGTTGGATAGAGGGCAAGGGAGTTCGGGGGGTGGTGTTCCGGGGGCGGGAGTATGGCTAGGGGTCGGGGTGGTCAGGGGGTGGGGGGTTGAATGGGGGCAGAGGTCCCGGGGGGGTAGTCAGGAAGGAGAAGGGGTTGGATGGGGCAGAGGTCCGGGGGGCAGTCAGGGGTGGGGGTTTTGGGAGCGGTCAGGGGACAGGGAGCAGGGTGGGATGTATGGGGCAGGAGTCCCGGGGTGGGTGACAGGGGGCGAGAAGCCGGAGGGGGGGGAGGGATAAGGGGCTGGGCCACGCCTGGCTGTTTGGGGAGGCACACCCTCCCCTAACCAGCCTCCATACAAGTCTTCTGGGACTTGTCCAGGTTTGAAGATTTAGTACATCAACATTAACAGCGCTGGAACCGCCTTGGCCAGCTCTTTTAAAACTCTTGGATGTAAATTATACAATCTGAAATATTTGTATAACTTTTTCAGTTGCTTTTTAACATCCTCCCTAGTTCCTGCTGGAATAGAAGATGTTTCATCCCCCTGGAGAATGAATTCCTATCCCATCGGTCTGTCTCTCTAGTATATTGCTGAGATGAACGGGCAGGATGGCGCAGGATGTTTACAGTGCCCCTTCCTTTGGTGTGTCTGACATGATGGGAGCGCACAGCAGCAGAATAGCCCTGGCCCGGCTCCAGTGGGCACTTAGGGTATTTGCGTTGACCGGGACTGGGTTTCTCTCCTCTAACTCTGCAGGAGCGGCTGGTATTGGAGGCCTGGTGCCCGGTGTCGGCGGTGTCCCTGGCTTGGTGCCCGGTGTCGGCGGTGTTCCTGGCGTGCTGCCCGGAGTCGGCGGTGTCCCAGGAGTTGGAGGTGAAGTTGCACAATTCGACTGACCGATGGGCCTGTGGGGTTGTGTTCTCCCCGTCTCAGAGCCTTGACTCTCTCTCTACTGTGTCCCAAACAGCTGGAATCCCAGCAGGAGCAGCAGCAGCAGCAGCAGCAAAAGCCGCCAAGTACGGTAAGCTGGCTCCCTCCCCCTTCTCCCTCCGTGCAGCCCATAGTGATGGGGTGCCCGCCTGTCACTCCTGGAAGTGGGTAGCTACTTGGATCCAAGCCCAGAGACAGTCTGTCCCTTTGGGAGCAATCAGTGGAGCCACTGGCATGTCTGGGATATATTCACATCCCTCCCCGTTCCCCATGGAGCTTCACCCTGCCCTGCAGCACGTGGCATAGAGAGCTCCTGCCTTTGGTCCACTGGTGATGGGGGGCAGGGTGGCCAGCGAGCGAGTTGGGAGCCCAGCTCCGGCTACAAGCCAGGCTCCCTGCAGCCAGTAGAAAGCATGGGGAAGCTTCAGACAGTGTGACAGCACAGAGCGTGTTCCCCTGTCACTCTGGGCAGGCTGCTGCCCCACGGCTCAGTTTGGAGGGCTGCGGGCGAAGCCGTTTGGGATGTGCCGGTCAGTGAATTCCCAGAGCCCCGCACCAGGGCCCGGGTGTGATGGGTTCCCCAGGGTGCAACCTGGACCTGGGGTACCGCTGAGCCCTCTGTCTCACCAACCTGGACTCCCTCTCACATTGCGTTGCTGTGACAAGCTGCAAATCTCTCCAGGTACTGCACTTACACAGACATCCACAGGCAGGGACACATATCCAGCTGAGTTTACTTGAATGCTTTTGCCAGCCACTCACTAACGAACAAGAGGGGCTCCAGCCAGTTCCCCCAGCTCCACAGCTTAGGACCCCAGGGCTGTACTCATAGAATCAGAGTATATCAGGTTTGGAAGGGACCTCAGGAGGTCATCTAGTCCAACCCCCTGCTCAAAGCAGGACCAATCCCCAACTAAATCATCCCAGCCAGGGCTTTGTCAAGCCTGACCTTAAAAATATCTAAGGAAGGAGATTCCACCACCTCCCTAGGTAACACATTCCAGTGTTTCACCACCCTCCTAGTGAAAACGTTTTTCCTAATATCCAACCTAAACCTCCCCCACTGCAACTTGAGACCATTACTCCTTGTTCTGTCATCAGCTACCATTGAGAACAGTCTAGATCCATTCTCTTTGGAACCCCCTTTCAGGTAGTTGAAGGCAGCTATCAAATCCCCCCTCATTCTTCTCTTCCGCAGACTAAACAATCCCAGTTCCCTCAGCCTCTCCTCATAACTCATGTGTTCCAGTCCCCTAATCATTTTTGTTGCCCTCCGCTGGACGTTTTCCAATTTTTCCACATCCTTCTTGTGGTGTGGGGCCCAAAACTGGACACAGTACTCCAGATGAGGCCTCACCAATGTTGAATAGAGGAGAAGGATCACGTCCCTCGATCTGCTGGCAATGCCCCTACTTATACATCCCAAAATGCCATTGGCCTTCTTGTCAACTAGGGCACACTGTTGACTCATATCCAGCTTCTCGTCCAGTGTAACCCCTAAGTCCTTTTCTGCAGAACTGCTGCCGAGCCATTCGGTCCCTAGTCTGTAGCGGTGCATTGGATTCTTCCGTCCTAAGTGCAGGACTGCACTTGTTCTTGTTGAACCTCATCAGATGGGCCCACCTTGTTTATCATACACATTGTAAGGAGAGTGGTCACTTTAGATAAGCTATTACCAGCAGGAGAGTGGGTTTGTGTTTGTGGGGGGGGACCTGGATTTGTGCTGGAAATGGCCCAACTTGATTATCATACACATTGTAAGGAGAGTGATCACTTTAGATAAGCTATTACCAGCAGGAGAGTGGGGTGGGGGGAGGTATTTTTTCATGTTTTGTGTGTATAAAAAGATCTTCTACACTTTCCACAGTATGCATCCGATGAAGTGAGCTGTAGCTCACGAAAGCTTATGCTCAAATAAATTGGTTAGTCTCTAAAGTGCCACAAGTCCCCATTTTCTTTTTGCGAATACAGACTAACACAGCTGTTACTCTGAAACCTGTCTTCGTGAAGACAGAGGCAAAAAAAGCATTGAGTACATTAGCTTTTTCCACATCCTCCGTCATTCAGTAAGGGGCCCGCACTTTCCTTGACTTCCTTCTTGTTGCTAACATACCTGAAGAAACCCTTCTTGTTACTCTTAACATCTCTTGCTAGCTACAACTCCAGGTGTGATTTGGCCTTCCTGATTTCACTCCTGCATCCCCGAGCAATATTCTTATACTCTTCCCTGGGCATTTGTCCAATCTTCCACTTCTTGTAAGCTTCTTTTTTGTGAAGCCTGAGCAGTGTAAGTTCATTACCCAGTCCACCCCTACCTCAATGTGGAGAGGACACACACCAGCCTTTGTAACCTGAGCTGAGATTCCCCAAGCACTTCAACCCAAACACAGTGTCTTAGGTAAAATATAAAACAGATTTATTAACAGCAGACAGAGAGATTTAAAGTGATTATAAGTAGTAAGCGTAGAGATCAAAGTTGGTTACCTAAGAAAGAAAAATAGAAGCACAATCTGAGTTCTATAAACTAGATAGGATTTGAATCAAGCATTGTCTCACCCTGATGGTATAGTTCCTTCATCCACAGGCTGGGATTCCTCTTTTCAGCTTGAGGAATCCTAACCCTTCCCTGTTCAAAGGCTTCGTTCTCCAGATTTGTTTCCAGGTATTGAGTTGTGAGGGGAGTGAGGCCAAGTGATGATACCACTTCCCCTCCTTTATAGGTTCTTCCAGCTTGCTGGAAAAATCTTTTGCTATGATCTGAGTCAAAAATTGTCCATTGTTTACACGCCCCCTCTGAGAATTCTTCACTGTACACAGATCCTGTGATAGTCCTTGGTACCGTGGATTCTCCTTAATGAGCCTGTGACGGGTTCGGTCACAGAGACTCTCCTCGAGACTGTCACTCAATGAGCTGGGATACCACTGAGAACACTGAGAACAACCCTCCTGCCAGAAAAGGTGCCCCTCCACTCTTCTCTTGCTGAGTGAGACACTCCAGTCAGCTCCAGCACAGACCCAGAGGTTGGGCCACACCTCTATGCAGTTCACTGAAACTGAGATTCACTCAGCCAGGGGCTTCTCCGTTAACAGGGAGTTTCCCAGCACCCAGTATTCAGCCTTTCTGGGAGTCTGAACCCCAAATAAATCTGTTTTACTCTGTATAAAGCTTATACAAGGTAAAGTCATAAAGTGTCTGCCCTCTATAACACTTGTGGCAAATTGCCGGCACTAGTATGAAGGGTCTCGCGCTTTCTCTTCTCGGGGAGGGCGGGGGGGGTATGGGGTGTTCAGGGCACCATTTCTTGCCCCTGAACTGGGGTATTAACTGCCTCACTAGTGCCTAGAGGAGTGGAGTGGAGAGGGAGGGACCCAGGCCCGCCCTCTACTCCGGGTCCCAGCCCGGGGGCCCTAGGGATAGCGGTAAACCACAGGAACTAGCAGTTCCTTCCCCTGGGCTACTTCCCTCTCCTGCCCTTCAGCTTGTGGGGCTTCCTGCCCTCCCTCTGCACAAACCAGGTGTCTCTTTACCTGGGGTCTTGGTCTTCTTAGCCCACTGCAGCACTTCTCCAAACTCTCCTCTGCTTCCGTCCAAACGGCTCTCTGCTCCAACGCCAATCCACTCTGCTTCAACTCCTTCTCCTGTCTGGCTGAAGCAGGGGTTTTTATCATGTGACTGGCTTCAGGTACTTTAATTGGCTTCAGGTGCTTTAATTAATCTATAGAAAACTTTCTTCCCCCTACAGGGAATGAGGCTCCCTTCTAACGCTTTCCTGCTGCCCTCTGGCCATGCTGTATCACATACCTCCCCCTCCCCCGCTCAACACCATGGGGTTGGGCTACTTGGGACTAGAGGCAGTTCTGTCGTGATAGGCCACCAGCGTTGCCGGGTTGGCTTCCGGCCCTGTGCTGTACCCGGAAATGGAAGGGCTGCAGGGATAGGAACCGCCTAGTCACTCTTGCATTCTTCTCCTTGTTTCTGTGCATCCACTGGAGTGGGGCATGGTCTGTCACAAGGGTAAACCGCCGCCCCAGTAGGTGGTAGTGGAGAGTCTCCATAGCCCATTTTACCGCCAGCCATTACTGCTGGGGCATTGGGCTGCTATATGCCCCAGTTCCCCACGCTCGTAACACCGCCCCCTTATTCCGGTTGCCGCCCTCTGCCTGGAGCTATTTGGCCAGCCCCCCCCAGCCCTCTCTTCCCAAACCCCCAGGTCACTTCTTGGCTACAGGCCATTCCTCGGTGTCTTTCCTCCCAGTTATGGTTCTCCTGGAGTTCTCGACAGTGCGGGGCCCTGGGTTTGAGGCTGACTTCCTGGTTTGCCGTGTCTCACCCCCTGGGGTCTGGAACAGTTCACGGGCTGCCAGCTGTCTTTCCACGAGGGAGACCAACTCATCACAGGTGGAGGGGTCATTCTGGCCAACCCAAGCCCGGAGGCCTGGTAGTAGCCCCCTCATATACCGGTCCAGTACCAAGAGCTCCATCACCTTCTCAGAGCTGAGGGCCTCAGGGCGCAGCCATTTCCGGGCCAGGTGGATCAGGTCAAACAATTGCAATCAGGGTGTCTTGTCCTCCGTATACTGCCACTCATGGAACCTCTGGGCTCGCAATGCTGTCGTTACTCCGGATCTGGCCAGGATCTCTGCCTTCAGCTGGGAGTAATCTGCTGCAGTCTCCGCGGCCATATTGTAGTAGACCTTCTGGGCCTCCCCACACAGGAACGGGGCGAGGATACCAGACCACTGATCTTAGGGCCAGGCCTCCCGCAGGGCTGCTCTTTCAAAAGCCAGGAGGTATGCCTCCACATCATCCTCCCGTGTCATTTTCTGTAGGCAGTAGCTGGCCTGTATGGTCCGGGTCCCATCGCAGTTGCGGTTCAGCTCCATAAGGGCTTTCATCTGGTTCACCAGCTCTTGCAGCAGGGCTCAGTCCTGGGCAGCCTGACTCATCAACAGACAATTAGTCTCCTGCTGCATCCGAGTCGCCTCCTGTTGGGTGGTTGCTTAAACCCGGGTAGCCTCCTGCTGGGTGGCGGTGGCTTGTATTAGGACCTTGACCACGTTGTCCATTTTAGGGACGGGAGGGTTTTGGCTAACCCTGGTTTAAGTCCCCAGCGTGTGATGGGTCTCGCGCTCTCTCTTCTTGGGGGGGGAGGGTTTCAGGGCACCGTTTCTTGCTCCTGAATTGGGGTATTAACTGCCCTACTAGTGTCCTAGAGGAGGGGAGTGGAGAGGGAGGGACCCGGGCCCGCCCTCCACTCCAGGTCCCAGCCCAGGGGCCCTAGGAATAGCGGTAAACCACTGGAACTAGCAGTTCCTTCCCCTGGGCTACTTCCCTCTCCTGTCCTTCAGCTTGTGGGGCTTCCTGCCCTCCTCTGCACAAACCAGATGTCCCTTAACCTAGGGTCTTTGTCTTCTTAGCCCATCGCAGCACTTCTCCAAATTCTCCTCTGCTTCCCTCCAAACTGCTCTCTGTTCCAACACCAATCCACTCTGCTTCAACTCCTTCTCCTGTCTGATTGAAGCAGGGGTTTTTTATCAGGTGACTGGCTTCAGGTGCTCTAATTGGCTTCCGGTGCTTTAATTGGCTTCAGGTGCTTTAATTAATCTATAGGAAACTTTCTTCCCTCTACAGGGAATAAGGCTCCCTTCTAACACTCTCCTGCTGCCCTCTGGCCCTGCTGTATCACACACTATAGAGAGGTTTCAGAGGAACAGCCGTGTTAGTCTGTATTTGCAAAAAGAAAAGGAGTACTTGTGGCACCTTAGAGACTAACCAATTTATTTGAGCATGAGCTTTCGTGAGCTACAGCTCACTTCATCAGATGTGTACCGTGGAAACTGCAGCAGACTTTATATACACACAGAGAATATGAAACAATACCTCCTCCCACCCCACTGTCCTGCTGGTAATAGCTTATCTAAAGTGATCAACAGGTGGGCCATTTCCAGCACAAATCCAGGTTTTCTCACCCTCCACCCCCCACACAAATTCACTCTCCTGCTGCGCTAGCCCATCCAAAGTGACAACTCTTTACATAATCAAGTCGGGCTATTTCCTGCATAGATCCAGGTTTTCTCACATCCCCCCCACCCCCATACACACACAAACTTACTCTCCTGCTGGTAATAGCTCATCTAAACTGACCACTTTCCAAGTTTAAATCCAAGTTAAACCAGAACATCTGGGGGGGGGGGGGGGTAGGAAAAAACAAGAGGAAACAGGCTACCTTGCATAATGACTTAGCCACTCCCAGTCTCTATTTAAGCCTAAATTAATAGTATCCAATTTGCAAATGAATTCCAATTCAGCAGTTTCTCGCTGGAGTCTGGATTTGAAGTTTTTTTGTTTTAAGATAGCGACCTTCATGTCTGTGATTGCGTGACCAGAGAGATTGAAGTGTTCTCCGACTGGTTTATGAATGTTATAATTCTTGACATCTGATTTGTGTCCATTTATTCTTTTACGTAGAGACTGTCCAGTTTGACCAATGTACATGGCAGAGGGGCATTGCTGGCACATGATGGCATATATCACATTGGTGGATGTGCAGGTGAACGAGCCTCTGATAGTGTGGCTGATGTTATTAGGCCCTGTGATGGTGTCCCCTGAATAGATATGTGGGCACAATTGGCAACGGGCTTTGTTGCAAGGATAAGTTCCTGGGTTAGTGGTTCTGTTGTGTGGTATGTGGTTGTTGGTGAGTATTTGCTTCAGGTTGCGGGGCTGTCTGTAGGCAAGGACTGGCCTGTCTCCCAAGACTTGTGAGAGTGTTGGGTCATCCTTTAGGATAGGTTGTAGATCCTTAATAATGCGTTGGAGGGGTTTTAGTTGGGGGCTGAAGGTGACCGCTAGTGGCGTTCTGTTATTTTCTTTGTTAGGCCTGTCCTGTAGTAGGTAACTTCTGGGAACTCTTCTGGCTCTATCAATCTGTTTCTTTACTTCTGCAGGTGGGTATTGTAGTTGTAAGAAAGCTTGACAGAGATCTTGTAGGTGTTTGTCTCTGTCTGAGGGGTTGGAGCAAATGCGGTTGTATCGCAGAGCTTGGCTGTAGACGATGGATCGTGTGGTGTGGTCAGGGTGAAAGCTGGAGGCATGCAGATAGGAATAGCGGTCAGTAGGTTTCCGGTATAGGGTGGTGTTTATGTGGCCATTGTTTATTAGCACTGTAGTGTCCAGGAAGTGGATCTCTTGTGTGGACTGGACCAGGCTGAGGTTGGTGGTGGGATGGAAATTGTTGAAATCATGGTGGAATTCCTCAAGGGCTTCTTTTCCATGGGTCCAGATGATGAAGATGTCATCAATATAGCGCAAGTAGAGTAGGGGCTTTAGGGGATGAGAGCTGAGGAAGCGTTGTTCTAAATCAGCCATAAAAATGTTGGCATACTGTGGGGCCATGCGGGTACCCATAGCAGTGCCGCTGATCTGAGAGATCTATAGAGAGATATGCACAGCTGTTTGCTCCACCAGGTATTAATCACTTACTCTGGGTTTATTAATAAAAAAAGTGATTTTATTAAGTATAAAAAGTAGGATTTAAGTGGTTTCAAGTAATAACAGACAGAACAAAGTAAGTCACCAAGCAAAATAAAGCAAAAACACTCAAGTCTAAACCTAATACATTAAGATACTGATTACAGGTAATATCTCACCCTCAGAAATGTTCCAATAAGCTTCTTTCACAGACTAGACTCCTTCCTAGTCTAGGGCCAGTCCTTTCCCTGGTACAGTCCTTGTTAGTTTCAGCAGACATCTCAGGTGGTAAGCAGGGGTTTTCTCATGACTGGCAGCCTCCTTTGTCCCGCTCAACCCCCTTTTATAGCTTTGGCACAAGGCGGGAATCTTTTGTCTTTCTGGGTCTCCACCCCTCCTTCTAAATGGAAAAGTACCAGATTTAAGATGGATTTCATTATCAGGTGACCTGGTGACCCCTAGTCTCCATTCCCCATGGGCTGGCCCACACATACACAAGAAGGCTTTCAAGTAACTAAGGCCATTTACAACTGATTGTTTCTGGACCACCCTTAATGGCCTCCACTTAATATGTTTACATCAGTGATACAAGTTTATATCTTATTCTCTTAACTTCAGATATAGAAATAATACATGCAAACAAATAGGATGAACACATTTAGTCAATTACAAGCTTTCTAGTGACACCATACCAAGGATATTTAGTATAAAGCATATTCCAGTTACATCATATTCATAAGCATATTTCCATAAAGCATATGGAGTACAACATCACACCCTCCTTCTGAGCTTACTGCCATAGTTTTGGACACTGTCCATGGCAGAGGCAGTACATGTAAAATCCCTGTTAGTCTCTGGGCCTCAGTTTCTTTGTCTTTTAAGTCCAGGGTTTGCTGATGAGTGGCCTTTTCTTTGTCAGCCTCCAGCTGCCTGAGTTCATACATAAGGGCCTTAGTTCCCAGCTCATCAAAGGAACTCTGTACCATGAAAGCAGGGAGAGAAGGGCCATGGGGAATTCCTGGTATAGAGGGAATCTGTACTGTGCAAGGCTGGCTGAGTTGACTCTGCTGCCCCCAGCTGGCTCTGCCATCTGGTGCTGGGCGAGGCAGGGAGCATGTTGCGGGAGAAGAAAGGGGGTGTCAGGTGAAGGAGGGGAGAGGCACTTCGGGTGAGGGAGAGAAGAGGTGAAGGAAGGGAAGGGTTATCAGGTAGAGGGGTATGTTGGAGTGGAGGAGGGGCTGTCAGCAAGGGAGGGGAAGGAATGTTGGGGTGGAGGAGGGGGTGTCAGATGAGGGAGGAGAGAGTGGGTCAAAGTGAGCAAAAGGAGGGCAACTCCCAGAGCTAGGTTCTGCTACAGATGATTTCCCACTGGCACTTGGCCCCAGAGGGGCCTATCACCAGCAATGTAAATTAAAGTTTCCCCCCCTGCACCTTATCTTAGTCTGGGGCCAAGTGCTGCGGATCTGGGAACAAAGACTGGCCCCCGTTGGCCTCCCACATTGTCTGCGCTCTGACTGGGCCACATAGTTGCCTTTGTCTCCTTGACTGTATTCTCCTCACATGCTAAGACCATGCTAAACAGCATGCTGCTATCCTTAATACTTTCCTGACTGCATTCCGTATCAGCCATTCCATGACTTTGCCTAGGATCAATGTCAGGCTACCTGGCCTATAGCTACCCAGATCATCCCACTTTCCCATTTGAATACTGGCACACATTGGCATTTTGCTAGTCTTCTGGGACTTGCCCAAGTTTGAAGATTTATTACATAGCAATATCAACAGCTCTGGAACCACCTTGGCCAGCTCTTTTAAAATTCTTGGGTGTAAATTATACAATCTGAAATATTTGTATAACTTTTTCAGTTGCTTTTTAACATCCTCCCTAGTTCCTGCTGGAATAGAAGATGTTTCATCCCCCTGGAGAATGAATTCCTGTCCCATCGGACTGTCTCTCTAGTATATTGCTGAGATGAACGGGCAGGATGGTGCAGAATGTTTACAGTGCCCCTTCCTTTGGTGTGTCTGACATGATGGGAGCGCACAGCAGCAGAATAGCACTGGCCCGGCTCCACTGGGCACTTAGGGTATTTGCGTTGACCGGGACTGGGTTTCTCTCCTCTAACTCTGCAGGAGCGGCTGGTGTTGGAGGCCTGGTGCCCGGTGTCGGCGGTGTCCCTGGCTTGGTGCCCGGAGTCGGCGGTGTCCCTGGCGTGGTCCCCGGAGTCGGCGGTGTCCCAGGAGTTGGAGGTGAAGTTGCACAATTCGACTGACCGATGGGCCTGTGGGGTTGTGTTCTCCCCGTCTCAGAGCCCTGACTCTCTCTCTACTGTGTCCCAAACAGCTGGAATCCCAGCAGGAGCGGCAGCAGCAGCAAAAGCCGCCAAGTACGGTAAGCTGGCTCCCTCCCCCTTCTCCCTCCGTGCAGCCCATAGTGATGGGGTGCCCGCCTGTCACTCCTGGAAGTGGGTAGCTACTTGGATCCGAGCCCAGAGACAGTCTGTCCCTTTGGGAGCAATCAGTGGAGCCGCTGGCATGTCTGGGATATATTCACATCCCTCCCCTCCCCGTTCCCCATGGAGCTTCACCCTGCCCTGCAGCACGTGGCATAGAGAGCTCCTGCCTTTGGTCCACTGGTGATGGGGAGCAGGGTGGCCAGCGAGCGAGTTGGGAGCCCAGCTCCGGCTACAAGCCAGGCTCCCTGCAGCCAGTAGAAAGCATGGGGAAGCTTCAGACAGTGTGACAGCACAGAGCATGTTCCCCTGTCACTCTGGGCAGGCTGCTGCCCCACGGCTCAGTTTGGAGGGCTGCGGGCGAAGCCGTTTGGGATGTGCCGGTCAGTGAATTCCCAGAGCCCCTCGCCAGGGCCCGGGGCATGTTCTTTTCAGCTCTATCATCAGCCTGTGTGAATCCACTTCATACATAATGGCCTCAGTTCCCAATCCATCAAGCGCACACTGCAGCATGCAAGAAGGAAGAGAAGGGCCATGGGGAATTCCTGGTGTAGGGGGAATCTGTGCGGTGCAAGGCTGGCTGAGTTGGCTTCACTGACCTCAAGCCGGCACTGCCATCTGGTGCTTGGTGACGCAGGGGGCGTGTTGGGGGAGAGGAAAGTGGGTGTCAGGTGAAGGTGGGGAGGGTCACTTCGGGTGAGGGAGAAGAGACAGGTGTAAGAGAGGAGGGCTGTCAAGTGAAGGAGGGGAGGTGTGGTCCGGGGGAGGGGCGTTTTGGAGTGGAGGGGGGATGTTAAGTAGGGAGAAGAGGGGTGGTCAGGGCAAGGGAAGGGAGGGTGTCTGCCAGAGCTAGATTCTGCTACAGATGTTTTCCCACTGGCACCTGGTCCCAGGGACCTATCGCCAACAGTGTAAATTAAAGCTCCCTCCTGCAGTTTAACTTCGTCTGGGGCCTAGTTCTGAATACGTGGAGATACGGCTGGCCCCTGTTGGCCTCCCGATCTGTCTTCATTCTGACTGGGCACCGTTGGGATGGGTTGGATCACGGAAGCCCCCTTTGGGACTGCCACCTGATGTGCCGAGACTACCTCTGAGCCCGTTTTCCCTGCCAGCGTGGGGCTTCAGAGCCCTGCCTGGTTGTGTCAGACACGCTCACCTGCTACAAACACAGACCCAAGTCTGAACCACGTCCCCCAAAAGCTGCAGGTTTAACTGAAAACAGCTTAAGAAGTGTTCCTGTCTCCAAGACTCAGATACCCAACTCCCAGTAGGGTCCAAACCCCAAATAAATCCATTTTACCCTGTATAAAGCTTATACAGGGTAAACTCATAAATTGTTCGCCCTCTATAACACTGATAGAGAGATATGCACAGCTGTTTGCCTCCCTCGCCGGTATTAATACTTACTCTGGGTTAATTAATAAGTAAAAAGTGATTTTATCAAATACAAAAAGTGGGATTTAAGTGGTTCCAAGTAATAACAGACAGAACAAAGTGAATTACCAAGCAAAATAAAATGAAACATGCGAGTCTAAGCCTAATACAGTAAGAAAGTGATTACAGATGAAATCTCACCCTCAGAGATGTTCCAGTAAGCTTCTTTGGCAGACTAGCCTCCTTCTAGTTTGGGTCCAGCAATCACTCACACCCCCGTAGTTACTGTCCTTTGTTCCAGTTTCTTTAAGGCATCTCTTTGGGGCGGAGAGGCCATCTCTTGAGCCAGCTGAAGACAAAATGGAGGGGTCTCCCAGGGCTTTACATAGTTTCTCTCTTGTGGGTGGAAACCCCTTCCTCCCCCTGTGTAGAATTCCCTCTACAAGATGGAGTTTTGGAGTCACCTGGGCAAGTCACATGTCTATGTATGACTTAGTTCTCTACAGGAACGTTCCAAGGAAAGCTCAGATGTGGATTGGCATCTATCAAAGTCTATTGTCAGCTTAAGTGTTTCTTGATTGGGCACTTACTGAGAATAGTCTTTTCTCAAGAAGCTAACCAAATGCTTCACTGAGGCTACTTAAAATCAAACAAGTACACAGCCAATATTTATAACTTCAAATACAAAAATGATACATGCATGCAAATAGGATGAATACATTCAGTAGATCACAACCTTTGCAGAGATATGTTACATGGCATATGTAGCATAAAACATATTCCAGTTATGCCATATTTACATTCATAGGCATATTTCTATAAAGCATTATGGGGTGCAAGTCACAACTGTAAAGGATCCAAACCTCTCTTTAATATCCACATTATTCTCTTTGTCACCCAGACTTGTATTCTCCTCACAAACAATGCCAGGCTTTTTTGACAGGACCTGTTGTCTGGAAGAGCATGCTAAATGCCATGCTGCTGTCCTTAATACTTTCCTGATTGCATTCCATATCAGCCCTTCCATATCTTTGCCCAGGATTGATGTCAGGCTATGTGGTCTATATCTACCCAGGTCATCCCACTTGCCCATTTGAGTACTTGCACACATTGGCATTTTTCTAGTCTTCTGGGACTTGCTCAGGTTTCCAAAATGTATTACATATCAACATCAATGACTCTGGGACCTCTTCTGCCAGCTCTTTTAAAACTCTTGGGTGCAGATTCTCCAGTCCAGCAGATTTGTATAACTTTAGCAGTTGATTTTTAACATCCTCCCTAGTTCCTGCTGGAGTAGAAGATGTTTCATCCCCCTGGAGAATGAATTCCTATTCCATCAGACTGTCCCTCTAGTGTAGGGCTGAGATGAACTTGCAGGATGTTTACAATGCCCCTTCCTCTGGTGTGTCTGACATGATGGGAGCACACAGCAGCAGAATTGCAGTGGCCCAGCTCCACTGGGCACTTAGGGCTTGTCTACATTACCCGCTGGATTGACAGGCAGCGATCGATCCAGCGGGGGTCAATTTATCACGTCTAGTCTAGATGTGATAAATCGGCCGCCAAGCACTCTCCCGTCAACTCTGGTACTCCACCAGGTGAGAGGCACAGGAGGAGTTGATGGGAGAGCATCAGCCATTGATTTACTGCAGTGAAGACACCACGGTAAGTAGATCTAAGTACGTCGACTTCAGCTACGTTATTCAATTAGCTGAAGTTGCGTAACTTAGATCGATCCCCGTCCCTAGTGTAGACCTGGCCTTAGAGTTTACGTTGAGTGGGACTGGGTTTCTCTCCTCTAACTCTGCAGGAGCGGCTGGTGTTGGAGGTCTGGTGCCCGGCGTCGGCGGTGTCCCTGGCCTGGTGCCCGGCGTCGGCGGTGTCCCTGGCCTGGTGCCCGGCGGTGTCCCAGGAGTTGGAGGTGAAGTTGCACAATTCGACTGACCAATGGGCCTGTGGGGTTGTGTTCTCCCCGTCTCAGAGCCCTGACTCTCTCTCTACTGTGTCCCAAACAGCTGGAATCCCAGCAGGAGCAGCAGCAGCAGCGAAAGCAGCAGCGAAAGCAGCAGCCTATGGTGAGTCAGCTCCTCCTCTCTTACTGCTCTGCAGCTTTGCCCTTTCCCCAGGGCTTCCTGATTGCAGGCCAGAGTCCTTTTTGCTGGCATCTGTAGCCTTCTGGCATCACTGGCATCTGTTAGTTCAGACAGGCCATCGTGCAGCAGGGCCGTCAGCATGGAGCGCAGACGGAGACCGGTCCACGCTGCGCAGCAGGATACGAGGGTCCCATGGCACAGGGGGTCACCTGGCAGGAGTGCCCAGCCTTCACTCCCCTTATGTGTCTCCGATGACACCAGGCACCGCAGAGACCTTTGCAGACCCTGCTGTACCAGAATGTGAAACTGAATTCTACTGTTCAGCCAGTAGGTGGAGCCCAGTGTCACTTATCTTATCTGGGCAGGTCATAGCTAAAGTAAGGCAGAGCACTGAAAGGTCTTGGAGTGAACCCATCTCCAGTGTATCTCTCTGGGAAGGAAGCACCGCAGCCAATCCATATCGGGTAGTAGCAGCCCTGCAATTTACCATCTACAAGAAGTACAGACATGGTGTTGGAAGTAAACTAGCGCCAGAGGAGAACAGAAACAGAAGGAAAACAGCAGCAAAGGTTGCAAACAGAAGGAACAAAAGCAACAAAGGTTGTGGGATCTCATCATCATGCAGTTCTTCTCTGCCCTTCAGAATGGCCAGACTGGAAGCCACATTTTTCAAGATTTTGCATTGCTATGAGACTCCATAAGGAAACTGGGGATGTTCCAGTATCAATATTAATTGATGCTGTGGGAAGCAGACAGAGCATATCTTTAAATCTTTTACCTTTACTGCAGACAGTCAAAAAGATAACTAGGAAAAGGTTCTGGCTATGTCTGATGCATACTGTATACCTCAGAAAAATGTAGTTTATGAAAGAGCATGTTTCCACCAGAGAATTCAAGAACCAGGAGAAAATGTTTAATGTTTTATAATAGCTCTGCATGTATTGGCCGACAACTGATTTTGGGAATGCAGAACATGAAAATATCAGAGACGGGCTGATTACTGAGTCAACAGACAACTACAGCGATAGGAATGGCAATTAAAGGCAGATTTAAACCTACTCACAGCTACTCAGAGAGCAAAGCAGGCTGAGCTTGTCAAAAAGTAGCACAAAAGGCAGGAGCAACTTGAGACATCTGAAAGTATCTTAGAAGCTGTAAACAGACACAGCATGAGTTGAAAAGGCACCAAAACCCTGAGGCTATGAGGGAGTCCCAGGCAAACTACAACGCCTTTCAGACAGAATGTACAAGACATGGAAAAATTCATAGTCCATCAGATTTATATTTAGTCAAAGGCACAAGGTATAATACATGCACCTGTAAATAATATGGACATTTTGTAGCTGTTTGCCATACCAAGGCAATCAGGGAGTTGACTAACATTACAGATGATCACATGCCATTGTTAATACAATATATCGTGTGATGACAGCCTGGAGAATGAAACAGAATATTCATGGGAAGACTATTAACTTTAATGTTAACTCAGAAGCAGATGTGACCATCATCTCAGAAGGGATTTACAATCCCCTTCTGCCCCTCCCAGAGCTGAAATCAGCTGACACAGCTCTGACTAGCCCTGGCGGTATTCTGAACTGCATGGACCACTTCACCACAGTAATACAAGACAAAAGCTGTGCATTCAGATTGCGTGTGATCAAAGACCAAGAACCTTCTCAGACACAGCATGGCAGCCATGACAGGCCTAGTGAGAAAGGTGGAAGAACTCAGAGGATTTGATGATATTGGACTTTAGAAAAGAGATCCAGTACAAATAAACTTGAGACAATGGTAGATCATGCAGTGTACAGACACTCCTACCAGAGAGACCTTAGAAGAGACAAGCTGATTTATGCAAATTCAGAGGAGATCATTACCTAGTCATTGTGGACTATTTTTCCAGGTATATAGTGTGGCAAATTATCAGCACTACTATGATGGGTCCCGCACTTTCTCTTCTTCTAGGGGAGGTTCAGGGCACCATTTCTCACCCCTGGTCTGGGGTATTAACTGTCCCACTGGTATCCCAGAGAAGGGGAGTGGAGAGGGAGGGACCTAGGCCAATCCTCTACTTGGTGTCCCAGCCCAGGGGCCCTAGAGATAGCAGCAAACCACTTGAACTATTTCAGAGTAACAGCCGTGTTAGTCTGTATTCGCAAAAAGAAAAGGAGTACTTGTGGCACCTTAGAGACTAACCAAGTTGCATCCAATGAAGTGAGCTGTAGCTCACGAAAGCTTATGCTCAAATAAATTGGTTAGTCTCTAAGGTGCCACAAGTCCTCCTTTTTTTTTCACTTGAACTAGCAATTCCTTCCCCTGGACTACTTCCCTCTCTGGCCCTTCAGCTTGTGGGACTTCCTGCCCTCCCTCTGCTTGGGCCAGGTTTCTCCCAACCCCTTGTGTCTGTGGAGTCCCTCTGCTCTGTACAAACCAGGTTTCCCTTTACCTAGGGTCTTTGTCTTCTGGCCTACCACAGCACTTCTTCAAACAGCTCTCTGCTCCAACCCCAAACCACTCTGCTTCAACTCCTCCAGCTGTCTGATTGAAGCAGAGGGTTTTTATCAGGTGACTGGCTTCAGGTGCTCTAATTAATCTATAGCAACCTCTCTTCCCTCTACAGGGAATAAGGCTCTCATCATCCTGGGGCTTACATATCTCCCTTTGATCACCCTTCTGCTGCCCTCTGGCCTGCTGTATCACAATAGAAATAGTGTAATTGAAAGACACAACATGTGTTATGGAGAAACTGAAATGCACTTTTGCTCACTTTGGTATTCCAGAACAACTTGTGATGGACAATGGACCACAACTCACTGCAGCAGAATTTAAGTCATTCTGAACAAAATATGCTTTTGTTCGTATTACTAGTAGCCCACATTACCCACAAATGAATGGAGAGGCTGAGAGAGCTGTACAGACACACAAGAAAATCCTAAGGCAGGAAGATCCATTCCTTGGTCTTCTGAGCTACAGATCAACACCAATAGTGGCTACTGTATATAGTCCCAGCACAGCTCCTGGTGGGAAGACAACTATGAACTACTGTTCCAATTCTGGAAAAGAATCTATCTCCAAAGTGGCCAGACATGAAGAAAGTAGCCAAATTGGATACAAAGGCAAAAAGAGCTTATGGAACACTTTACAACAGACATCACTCTGGGACCTGCTGGGTCTAGAAGCTGGAGATGTGTTTGTGTCAAACAGGATGGAGAAAAAGGAAGGACAACTCCAGCTGTTATAAAAAAAGAGAATTCAGCCCCCAGATCGTACATGATTGAGACCAACAGTGGAGAGTTCAACATCTAGAAGCGATCAACATCTACATTTTGTTCTTCAGAAAGAACAATCAACAAGCAAATTCTACAGATGGCAGATGCAGAATAAGAAGAAGATTCAAAGATTCCAAACTGACCAGAGACAGTTGTTACAACCAATGGACAGCCAGATGACCTAGTTGTTATGTATTCAGGTCATGTAATTAGAAAACCAGTACGATTCAGAGACACTGAACAATCTGGTCTGTACTGGTAGGAATGTAGAATTTAAAGGGGGAGACATAATGGAATGCTAAATTGTACTATACTGATCAGCCATGAATTAGCGCCAGGTGTAACATCCTTATCTGAGCAGGTCATAGCTAGAGCCAGACAGTGCATTAGAGGATCTCATGGAAGAAACATGGAAGAAACTGGTACAACAGTCTGACCTGCTAGTAACAGCCCTGCAGCCTATCGTGTACATGCAGTACATGATTCCTGCCTCTGCCAGAGTGGGGCACTTTGAACATTGGGAATGAGCACTTCACAGCATTCACTGTGCGTCACATGGGTGAATGGATGGACATGAAAAGGATAGTGGGTGGGTCTGTTTTGGGATGGCTGGATGGCCCCTATCGGTGCCTGGTTATGGGCTGAGAGGATAATGGGGGAGTGGATGGCAAACCAGGATCTCCATTCATATCTCTCTAAATCTAATGGCAGGGCACCCTTTACAGCCATATCATGGGCCCCGAGTACAGGGGGATACAGCCCTGCTTCCTGCCCTGGCCTCACCACTGAACCTCTCAACAGGGGCTGGACGCATACCAGGTGTGGTACCGGGAGTTGGAGGCTTGGTGCCCGGCATTGGTGGGGGTCTGGTGCCCGGCATTGGTGCCGGTCTGGTCCCCGGTGTTGGTGGAGCCCTGGTGCCTGGCATTGGAGGTAACTTTTGCTTTAACTGAGATAGGACTTGCCACTTGGTCTGGGATCCTCACTGCTGCAGTGATCTGTAATGGCCACTGCAGGGGAAGGAAAAGAGTCCCATGATGCTCCGCTGCAATCTGGAGCATCCCCAGGTGCTGCTGAGGGTGGGGTCTTCCCCCTTGTCCCTGCGGTGGGAGAGCATGCTGCAGGAACAGTGTTTTTTTGTGCTGGGATATGCTATGGGGTCTGTTGGATTCCATCCCTGGGGAATGCATCTCCACCCAAGTTTCATTCTCCACACATTTCTGTCCCCAGGTGTTGTCAGTCCGGCAGCAGCAGCCAAAGCAGCAGCCAAAGCAGCCAAGTACGGTGAGTCAGCTCTTCCTTCTCTGGCTATCCACAGTGCCCTGCGACTGCTGGCTCCCTGAGAGTCCCAGCAGGAGGGGGTCATGGCCAAAGCTGGGGCTTGGGGTTCCAGGAAATAACAACCTCCCACCCAGAGCAGTCTGGGCCCTCCTAAGAAGGGGTGAGGCAGCTGCCTGAGCCGCATGTGAACAGAGCAGAAGTAAAGGCACGTGGTGAGTGCCATCACCTTTCCAGCCCAGTTGGGGCAGAGATTCCTTTGGGGGCAGGGAGGGGTGGTATGTGCTGACCACAATGTGTGTAACCCACACACCTCCTGGGCTTGGGGCTCTGTCACATCTAGTGGCACCGAGACCCCTTAGAGAGAGAGTAATGAGTCTGTTCTGCAGCCTTCGCTAAGATCCATGCGGCTCTTAGCTCATGCAGTAGCTGCTCATGAGGCCCAGGTTCAATTCCGCCCACTGGCGAACGGGGTCTGTCCGTGTTACATATAAGACATGGGCAACCCAGCCCCTCGGGCGAGGACTAGCCCAGGACGCATCGTGTATTCAGTTGGCAAACTCCTCTTCCATGCACTGAGGGGTTCGTGGAGTCTGGAGAGCCGTTTAGGAAATAATGCAGCTAATTCCATCCACCCCTCCCTAAACAGAACCCCCACTATCCAATGCACCCATCCCCAAACAGACCAACCCACTGTCCACACACCTATCCCCAAAAGAGCCCTCCCACTATCCATGCAGCCATCCCCAAACAGACCCACCCACTATCCATCCACCCATTCCCAAACACACATCCACTATCCATCCAACCATCCCCAAACAGACCCATCCACTGTCCATCCACCCAGCCCCAAACAGACCCATCCACTATCCATGCAACCATCCCCAAACAGACCCTTCCACTATCCATCCACTCAGCCCCAAACAGACCCATCCGCTGTCCATCCACCCAGCCCCACACAGACCCATCCAATATCTGTCCACCCAGCCCCAAACAGACCCATCCACTATCCATGCACCCATCCCCAAACAGACCCATCCACTGTCCATCCACCCAGCCCCAAACAGACCCATCCGCTGTCCATCCACCCAGCCCCACACAGACCCATCCACTATCTGTCCACCCAGCCCCAAACAGACCCATCCGCTGTCCATCCACCCAGCCCCACACAGACCCATCCAATATCTGTCCACCCAGCCCCAAACAGACCCATCCACTATCCATGCAACCATCCCCAAACAGACCCTTCCACTATCCATCCACTCAGCCCCAAACAGACCCATCCGCTGTCCATCCACCCAGCCCCACACAGACCCATCCAATATCTGTCCACCCAGCCCCAAACAGACCCATCCACTGTCCATCCACCCAGCCCCAAACAGACCCATCCACTATCCATCCAACCATCCCCAAACAGACCCATCCACTGTCCATCCACCCAGCCCCAAACAGACCCATCCGCTGTCCATCCACCCAGCCCCACACAGACCCATCCAATATCTGTCCACCCAGCCCCAAACAGACCCTTCCACTGTTCATCCACCCAGCCCCAAACAGACCCATCCACTGTCCATCCACCCAGCCCCAAACAGACCCATCCACTGTCCATCCACCCAACCCCAAACAGACCCTTCCACTGTCCATCCACCCATCTCCAAACAGACCCATCCACTGTCCGTCCACCCATCTCCAAACAGACCCATCCACTGTCCATCCAACCATCCCCAAACAGACCCTTCCACTTTCGGTCCACCCAGCCCCAAACAGACCCATCCACTGTCCGTCCACCTAGCCCCAAACAGACCCTTCCACTGTCCGTCCACCTAGCCCCAAACAGACCCTTCCACTGTCCGTCCACCTATCTCCAGACAGACCCATCCACTGTCCATCCACCCAACCCCAAACAGTCCCATCCACTGTCCATCCACCCAGCCCCAAACAGACCCATCCACTGTGCATCCACCCAGCCCCAACCAGACCCATCCAATATCTGTCTACCCACCCAGCCCCAAACAGACCCTTCCACTGTCCAACCACCCAGCCCCAAACAGACCCATCCCATATCTGTCCACCCAGCCCCAAACAGACCCTTCCACTGTCCATCCACCCAGCCCCAAACAGACTCGTCCACTGTCCGTCCACCCATCTCCAAACAGACCCATCCACTGTCCATCCACCCAGCCCCAAACAGACTCATCCACTGTCCGTCCACCCAGCCCCAAACAGACCCATCCACTGTCCATCCACCCATCTCCAGACAGAACCATCCACTCTCCGTCCACTCATCTCCAGACAGACCCATCCACTCTCCGTCCACACAGTCCCAGACAGACCCTTCCACTGTCCGTCCACCCATCTCCAAACAGACCCATCCACTGTCCATCCACCCAGACCCAAACAGACCCATCCACTGTCCATCTACCCATCTCCAAACAAACCCATCCACTGTCCATCCACACAGCCCCAAACAGACCCATCCACTGTCCATCCACGCAGCCCCAAACAGACTCATCCACTGTCCATCCACCTCCATACAGATCTCTCTCTCTCTCTTAATCAGTTCTTATACTGCACCCAGTGTTTTGCTATCTGAGCACTGCTCTCCGTTACAATCCACCTGTGTGCTATTTGAAGGCCCCACACTTTCTACCTACCTCAGTCCTTGCCATCTTCCACACCTTTATAGGCCCTGCGTTCCCAGACCACGGCTGCATTTCACATATCTAACCTTCTGCAGGAGCTGGCGGAGTCGGAGGCCTGGTGCCCGGTGGAGTCGGAGGCCTGGTGCCCGGTGGAGTCGGAGGCCTGGTGCCCGGTGGAGTTGGAGGCCTGGTGCCTGGTGGAGTCGGAGGCGTCCCAGGTGCGGGCAGAATTGGAGACCGTCTCATTCTATTACAGTAGTGCATGAGTGGGTTTGGCTCCCCGGTACCATGTGATAGGGTTGGCCAGTGACGGAGCTGAGTGTACCCCTGCCCCCTTGCTGGTCTCTCTGAGTGACCCCTCTGCTGTCCAGCCTCCTGTCCCTCCCTGTCTGGGGTGGAGTCCTGCCATTCTCCCGCTCTCAGAGTGGGATCTGGGTATGGCACCCCAGCTCTGCCAACCGCTCATTGCTGACTACGGTTCTGGCACAGGCTTGGGACCTGCCTGTAATCAAATGGGAGCTGGTGGAGTCGGCTGCGTCACAGGCAGGCAGCAGTGCCAGGCTGTGTTGGTGTCTGAGCAGCCCAGAGTCAGCGTCCCTCCGTCCCCAGGCTCAGAGCCACTGATCCCACTGGCCCATCTCCCTGGCACACAGGGGCAGGTGTTGGTGCCACCAGGTGATCTGAGCCTGCGCAGGGACGGGTCAGACAGACGCAGGCTGCTCTGCTCCTGCGAGCAGGCTGGGTCCCTTGTGCCCGTGCAGACACTGCCGGAGAGGGAATCTGCAATGGTGTACGGGGAAGAGCAGGAGGGGTTCAGCAGAGGCAGAGCTGGGCAGGGGCAGTGGTGCCCATGTTCCTGGCTGGGCAGAGGAGAGAGTGTGAATGAGCCGGGCTGTTCACCAGGGCAGAACTATAATCCCTGCCTCTCGCTCTCTTCCAGGAGTCATCAGTCCCGCAGCAGCAGCTAAAGCAGCTGCCAAAGCAGCCAAGTATGGTGAGTTGGGCTTCCCTGGCTCTCCCGCTCCAGCCTTGGTTCTCCCCCACTCTCTCCAGCCCTCCCCCTCCAGCCACAACCCTTCCCCCTTCCCTCCAGCCCTCCCCCTCTAACCCGGGCTCTCCTCCCCTTCCTTCCAGCCCTGGACCCTCTGCTCCAGCCCCAGCCTTGCATCTCCCTCTGTCCTTGGGGCCATGGAGCAGCAGACAGCCCTTCCTTGCAGGGGGCTGTCTGAGCCCTGGTCTTTCTGACCTGGGTCTGAATCCCGACTCACCACAGGAAAGGATGCTCCAGCCTCCAAGCAGCCAGGGCAGCCAACCCTGCAGCTGGCAAGCGGCTCCTCCAGGCCGTGACTGTATCTGTGGCTGGTGTGGTGTGGGTTGCATCCTAGACACAAGACCCCGCCCAGCTCGGGTGTCAGGGCCCCCGTGCAGAGTGCAGGGTTGCTCCTAGAGGCCCTGCTGCCCATCGCCTGCCCTCACCCCCATGCGGAGCGAGTGCGAGGAGTGTGAAGGGCTACGGGTCTGGCCCACTGAGTGGGCCCATGTCAGAGGCACAGAGACCCAGCCCAGAAATACTCACACTGAGCCTGCACAGGCTCCTCGTGTCCCCTTCCATTCCAGCCTGCGCTTCTGGCCTTAACCCCCGTTCCTCTCCACAGGTGCTGGCGTCGTGCCCGGGGCAGGCGGGGTGCCTGGCATCGTGCCCGGGGCTGGCAGGGTGCCAGTCGCAACGCCTGGGGCTGGTGGGGTACCTGTTGTAACGCCGGGGACTGGGGGAGTGCCAGTCTTTGTGCCCGGCGCAGGACAAGTGCCAGGAACGGGCATTGTACCTGGAGCAGGTAATTGCATATCCTGTCACTCAGTGGTGCTGGTTCCCATGGAACATGCATGGCTAGACTCCTCCCACAGCACGATGGGATGCCCCTCAGAGGGTATCTCCTGGGCACTGGGGCAGCTCTGGCACGGGAGCACCAGAAGTGTTGGGCCCTGCTGTGAGTAGTAGCAGGTGGCTCTGAATGTGAAGTGCAGAACAGTCACCCATGCACCATCTTTCTCTTGAAGCCAAGTGAGGCGGGTTGGCGACGGACAGGCACCGGGTGCCATGCGGCTCCTGGGTCTAACTGCAGTGCTCTTCTCACCCTGCAGGGATTCCTCAGCTGGGCGTGCAGCCAGGCGCCAAGCCTCCAAAGTACGGTATGCACCTCCCCACCGTGACCCAGCCAATGGCTCTTCTTTGCCCGCCACTGACTGTGGCCCATCCTGTCCACTTTTCCCCGGTGCCCTCTGTGTGGAGGGCTGAGGAGCTGTCCTGTCGCTCAGCGCAGACAGCCAGAGCCAACCACCTCTCTCTCCAGACTGACAGCAACTTCCGATCGGAGCCGTCAACATCCATCCTGGGAACCCTGTCTCCACCCACCAGCCTTGGCTTTGAAATTCTGCCCCCTCCTGCCCTGCACGGCCCTGCTTGGGAGCTAGGGTCTCCAGGGCCTAGGCAGCTTCCCCATAGCCAATGTTCCTGCCCTGTTCCACACCCCTCTTCTACTGAAGGGAACGGGGGCAGATGTAACATAAGAACGGCCATACTGGGTCAGACCAAAGGTCCATCTAGCTCAGGGGTAGGCAACCTATGGCAAGCATGCCTAAGGCAGCATGTGAGCTGATCTTCAGTGGCACTCACACTGCCCGGGTCCTGGCCACCGGTCTGGGGGGCTCTGCATTTTAATTTAATTTTAAATGAAGCTGCTTAAACATTTTAAAAACCTTATTTACTTCACCTACAACAATAGTTTAGTTATATATTATAGACTTATAGAAAGAGACCTTCTAAAAACGTTAAAATGTATGACTGGCACGCGAAACCTTCCATTAGAGTGAATAAATGAAGACTCGGCACACCATATGCTCCAATACGTCTGTTAGTCTATAAGGTGCCACAGGACTCTGCCGCTTTTACAGATCCAGACTAACACGGCTACCCCTCTGGTACTTGGCACTTCTGAAAGGTTGCCGGCCCCTGATCTAGCCCAATATCCTGTCTTCCGACAGCAGCCAATGCCAGGTGCTTCAGAGGGAATGAATAGAACTGGGCAATTTACTGAGTGATCTGTCCCCTATCATCCATTCAAAGCATCTGGCAGTCAGAGGTTTAGGGACACCCAGGACATGGGGTTGCATCCCTGACCTCTTGGTTAATAGCCATTGATGGACATGTCCACCAGGAACTGATTTAATTCTTGTCTGAACCCAGTTATACTTTTGGCCTTCACTAAGTCCCCGGCAAGGAGTTCTGTAAGTTCACTGTGCATTGTATGAAGTGCTACCTTCTGTTTGCTTTAAACTCGATGCCTACTAGACACGTCTTTGAGTGCCACAGAGCCAGTGCGTCTGCTTCCCCCTTCCGTGCCACACGCAGGGAGGGGTTGGGGCAGGAGGAGCTGTGGATTTCCTCTCCAGCTAGCACTCCAGAGCAGGCTTTGTTCTTTCCTTTGGCCGGAATTGGCCCCAGCTCCACTTCTGAGTTTAGCTGGGCAGGTTCTCACTATTTTGCCACAAACGTGCATGTCGGAGCAGAACTGTATTGTTTTGTGAGTTCAGGCCTGTGAATTCTCTGCCTTGCATTAAGGAAAAATGGCAGAAGGCATTTGGGGTGTAACTGAGCATTACAGACTATGATCTGTGGCCACGAAACCATTGCAGACTGGCCAAAGGTGCAGTGTCCACAGCGAGCAGGCAGAAATCCCTGAGCCCCTCACTGCTCTGCCTCGCAGAAAGAACTTACCTGGCAGGTGTGCAGGGCCGGGTATGTGCAGGGACCGGGCGCTTTCCTTCTCTGCCTGTAGTGCTATGGCACCACCAAGAGGCCAGTTCATTTTATGTTTCTAAAGCATTTTCCCCCTGTCTTCCTGGTGCTATTTTATTACATCTTGCAGTGCATTCTTATCGGGATCACTGATGTAGGCTGTGTGTGCGCAGCCGTGTGTGTGTGTGTGTCTCTTAGTACGTGTGCGTGTGCAGGTTGTATGTGTGGGAGTGTGTGCACTTGTGCAAGTCATGTATGCACACGTATGTGTGTGTGCGTGCAGGTCACTTACATGTGTGCATATGTGCGTGTGCAAGTCATGCCCGTGTGTGTGTGTGTGTGTGTGCACACCCTTTGGAAATCCGTAGGTTTAAAATCTTGTGACAATCCGGTTTGCTGTGACAGGGAACCAGGAGATACAGCTGTTTCACACTGGAGGGGCTGGTCGGGCAGCGGTGAATGCGCTGCCCGCCCTGCAGGGCTCAGAGCGAGGGGTTCTGGGCCTACGATTGGGGCTAAGATTTTGTCATGGTTGTTTTTAGTAAAAGTCACAGTCAGGTCACAGGCAATAAACAAAAATTCACGGGAGCTGTGACCTGCCTGTGAGTTCTGCTGTTGCGGCTCTCTGGTTTCCCCCGCCACCCTGGTGCTGGGCGCTGTAGGGTTCCCCCTCTGCCCAGGGCAGCTGGGAGCTGCAGGGTGACCATATTTCCCAAAGAGAAAATGGGACATGCCCAGCCACTCGCCCGAGGTGTCCCCCACTCCCCGCTGTTGCGGGAACCCTGAGGAGGGCCTGTCACCTGTCACTGGAACTTAGCAGGGGCCCCTGTTGCTTGTTGCTGGAACCCTGCCAGAGCCCCCGTGGCTGCCAGCTGCAGAGTCCTGCAGCCCCTGGGCTGAAGCAGAGAATGTCAGGGAGGTCTCTGGAAGTCACGGGTTCTGGGGCTCCTGTGACCTCTGTGACAGAAACGTAGCCTTACCTATGATCCAGCAGAGGCACTGGCCTAGGAAAGTACGTCCAGTGAACAGGAGGAACGTGGCTGGTGTAACCGTTTGTTCTCTGACTGACAGGTGTCCCTGGGGCTGGGGTCACAGGTGCCAGGGGCCTCCCAGGTATGCAGCTGCCAGAGATGCTGAGCTCTGTGGGCCAAGAACTCTGGAGAGGCAGAATTTGCCCCTGCGCTCTGCCCAAGTGTGCTGTCAGCATGGGAAAGAGAGGGGCTCTGCCCTCGAGCCCTGGTGGCAAGGCTTCCCAGAGCTGGTGGGCAGTCTGGTGCTGCAGGGCTCCAGTGCTCTCCCCTGGCACAGCATTGTCCCTGCTCCCAAGCTCCCCTCTGGAGCACGGAGAGCCCTGGCCAGGGACCTAGCCCTCATGGCTGCAGGCAGGCATCCAGGACGGCAAGTAGCAATGTTTGACTCATCCCTTCCCCCTTCAGCAAGGGCTGAGGGCATCCCTGTCCCTCCGAAGCTGCCCTCCCTGGCAGTGGCTCTGGTGGAGTGTGGCTGGCTGCAGGCCAGTCCCGGGTTAGGAGCCAGGCTCATGGGCTATACAGGCAAGAGCGGCTGAGGGTGGAACTGTCTCAGGCCTGGCTTCTCCCTGTGCAGCATGGAGTGGCTGGGGTGACCAGTGTGGGGTTCCAGCCCCTCTGGCCGTGGCTTCACTCAGCACATGGCACCGACACCCCAGAGCCACCGCACTCCATGCAGGAGCTGCAGCCCTTCCCCAGCCTCACCCAGTGCGTGGCCAGGCTCCACCCCACCCCGTCCCACTTGCCAGCACGCCCTCCCTGGCCTGCCATCTTTGTGTCAGTGACTCATCCCCTTGTCTCGCCTGCTGCCCTGGGGGCTGGCAGGCTGGGACATGTCTGCATTCCCTGGTCCCTGGGCTGGGAGAGACCCAAGGCAGGGACTGGCAGGGGGCGAGCGGTCAGGCACAGTGGGGGGCCACCCAGTGGTTTGTCACCTGCTCCCCTCTCCTCCCTTGCACCCCTGCTCATAGAAGGCCTCGTCCTGGCTGAGGCTGGCACTGGCCTGAAGGCTCTTTCAGCAGGCGAGGCCCTGGTGCCGGGTGGGGGTGACGTGCTGGGAAGGGTGCTGGGGGTGACGTGCTGTGTCTGCAGACGGGGAGGGCAGGATTCTCCCTATAGTCCAGTCTCCAGGCCCTGATCCTACCCCTTTGCCCCAGGCCCTTGCTATCCTGGCATCCCTGGCTAGTGCCAGACCCAGCCTGGCTAGCTCCCTTCCCCCAGAGGCCCCATCCCTAAGGGCATGCCAGCAGGAGTCTGCTCCCGGCACAGTGCTGGGGCCGGGCAGTGGCTCTGCGGGGTGCCATACCTCCCACTGGGGAGCCCTCACGGAGGAGCCAGCACGCAGGACTACCAGAGTCTCTGCACGGCCAGAGGCTTTGTCCAGAGGAGCCAGATGGAGCACAGAGTGTGTGATGGGGGCTGCCAGCCTACAGGCCACTGCCCTCCTCTCTCTCCCTTCCCCACGTGGCGCTTTCCACACACCACTCCTCACGTCTGGGAGGCCACAAGCTTCTGGGGCACTGCCCTACCCACTGGCTCTGCTCTGCCCAGAGGGGCTGGCCCAGCTGGGGCACGGCTGGCCTTGGGTGCCTGCTGCCGGCAGTGAGCAGCTGCTCTCACTGGCCAGTGGCTGACGGAGCCTTTGCTTGGCAGGCCACGGCACTGGAGCTGGGCTGCCGGGGGTCAGCCAGCACTAGAGGCTCATAGGACCTGGTTCCTCCCCACAAGGCAGTGTGTGCCCATGTTCTACCCAGGGCATCCAGGCCTGCACACAGCTCTCCAGGGCAGGTGCAGTGCTTCACTTAGCATGGACAGCCCTGCATGCATGTGTGTGCTAAGTGTGTGCGTACTGTACACTTGTGTGCGTACACATGGGGGGTGTGCATGTGTTCATGCGTGTGTGTCTGCATGGTGCACAGGTTCACAGTAAGGTTCCAGGGCCTTCTCATGCACACTACCCAGAGCACCTGTCCTGCTCCATGCCCGGCCCTGTGGGGGAGGAGGTTGCTGGGACAGTCCCTAGAGCTCTTGGCCTCAGGGCTGGGCTGTCCCCTGCTGGGCGCGGGGGGTGGCAAGGGATGGCCTCCCCGCAGATGGCAGGGTGCATGGCTACGGAGTGCTGGAGTGGGATGCCAGTCTTAGGGAATGTCGCCTGCTTGGTCCCAGGGGAAGGGGGCCCCAGCCTCAATGCCTCTTGGTCCCCATGGGAAGGCGGCCCCGGCCCCCTGGCCCCTTGGTCCCATCCAAAGCAGCCTCCAAACAGTGGCAATAATGGGATGTTCCTTTCTTAGCATCTCAGATCCAGGACACTCCACTGCCGCCCTGAGGGCCCCCATCTGTCCAGCTCTCAGCACCTTGGGCCCCCCCACACTGTCATGGAGCCATGAGCCACAGGCTTGTGCCCACTTGGGGCCTTCCTCACCCCCCTCACCCAGCCTGGGGCTGCTACAGTTTTTGCTGAATGCTGATGGGGTGCATTTCCCACCTGTTCTGTGCCACAGGGTTTCTGTATCTAGGGGCTAGTGGCAAACCTCTCAAGCCATGTAACTGGCCCAGCTCCACTGGGTTCAGCCTCTCCCAGCAGGGGGTGCTGTGGGGACTAGGGCAGGAGCGCTGGCTGTAGGGAGCTCCTGGCTACTCCATCCCCTGCCTCTCCCAGCAGGGGCACTGTAGGGAGCAGGGTAGGAGCGCTGGCTGTGAGCGGGGGGCGCTGTAGGGGCAGGCATGCTGGTGAGAGTGCAGTGTTAGTGTCCCTAGGGATCAGATTTCAGAGTAGCAGCCGTGTTAGTCTGTCTTTGCAAAAAGAAAAGGAGGACTTGTGGCACCTTAGAGACTAACCAATTTATTTGAGCATGAGCTTTCGTGAGCTACAGCTCACTTCCCTAGGGAGTTACTCGGGAAGCCTTTGCCCTGCAGGTTATGGGCCGGGCACCCATCCCATACTTTGAGGGCCATCCCTTGACCACTGGAACGTTAGGTTGATGCAGGTGGTAACTGCACTGGACACCTGAGGGTAGAAATGTTCACTTGAGAGAGAAATCCAGGTGGTGCTCAGAAAAATGTTGTGTCCCTAAAATGGCCCTTGAAATACTGTCTTGTCCCGTATTTTCCACGTGCTTTCCCCTTACTACCATCCAACAAAGGTGGGCAGCCTATGCCAGGTCCGCAGCCATGGCAATAAATGAGGAACTGGGTTCTCCCTGGCCCAGCTGTCAGCTTACACCAGGGACAGACCCGTGCGTAGAGACAGTGCCTCTCAGCTGGCTGTGGGGAGCAGCTTGGCCTGGGCTGCCTGCACTGGCTGGCACATAGGCCGGAGTCCGGCCCTTAAGGCCCTGTGTGCTGTGACTGGTCACCTTAGTCCCAGGGGATTGTCACTGGGCCCTGTGTCAGTCTGGGGGGCTGTGAGCCCAGGCCTGCCCCCACCCTGCCTCACCCAGCCCTGCCTTGTCACGCTGCTTTGTATTCTGGCTCTGTCCATGGATCTGGGGGTCTCAGTCCCTGGTGCCCACCTGGCTGGTCCTGGGGCAGGCAGCTGTTCCAGGCAGCTTTCCCCGTCAGAGGCTGCAGGTGACAGCATGTGCCCAGTGCAGCCACCTCTCCCTGCTCATCCCCTCAATATCCGGGCATGGTGGCCATGCTGGTGCAGACAGGTTCGAGCCTCCCCAGCACGTGCCTTCCCCTGTGCAGCGGGTTGTGAACCGTGGGCACAGGAGGGGCCAGCCCAGCTGAGTGGAGCTGTAATTAGAACGAGGGAAACATTCTCTCTGCAGCCAGCTGGACCGTGGCTGGACTGCAGGGAGCCCATGGCTGCTTAGCTTGACCCCCTCCTCTCATCTCCATGTGGCGCAGTCCTGTGAATAGCCTGTTTCCAGGCGCTGGCATCTCTTGGTTCAGAGCAGTACTGAGAAGGGAGGGTCCTGGGGAGAGGGGCATGGGCCTGTGAGATGAAGCTCACTGGAGCTGCGCCAGGTGACACCAGCAGCAATCGCCTGTGCCCAGTTCCTCTGGCCAGTCCCCAGAGCCCTGGGCCTCGGCTGAGCAGCCAGCTGTGCCTTGCCCTTTGCAGCGGGACCTCTAGCCTTAGGGCCTCCCATCTGGCAACAGTGTAGGAAACAGGGCAGGAGAGCTGGCTGGGGCAGGGGGGCTCCAGTCCTGACTATACCAGCCCAGCCTCTCCCAGCATGGGGCGCTGTGGGGGGTGGGGGATGGCAGGGAGGTCATGACTCTGGCGCTGCTGTCATTGTGTTAGTGACTGGCTGTGTTTGCTGTTGTAGGGTTCGGTGTTGGGGGCCTGCAGCCAGGTGAGTGAACGGGGCTGTGGGGGGAGCTCACGCTTGCTCTCCTGCGGCTCTGCTGGGCATTGCCTAGGGAATGCCTTAGCCTCCCTGGGTGGGGATGCTGATGCCAGTGGTGCCTTCGGCAGGGCCCTGTTCTTTAGCCGCTCCCCAGGCAGGCTCGTGGAGAAGCTGGACTGTGCTGTTCTGGCAGGAGGAGCAAACCCAGGCAGGCTAGTGTCCCGGACAAGCTGCCAGGACCTACGGACGCTGCGCCCTGGGCACCAGGGAACCGAACTTCTCTTTAGCTACCCATGGCCTGGGAGGGCTTTCCGGGGCACAGGAGCCAGCGGGGCCCCATTCAGCCAGATGTCCTGGAACTGGGTGCCCTGGTCTGGGTTCCCACAGCCCAGCTCTGGGGATGTGGCCAGGCATTCACAGCCGTTGCTGCTCAGGTGGGACTGAGCCTTGATCAGATGAGAACTGGACCTTGGGGCTCAACTTCCTGGCCAGGGTGGGGCCAGGAATGCTGTGGCCCAAGGTGGTGCCAGGCCATGCCCTGGGTCTCCTCTGGCACAGCCTCTGGTACTGCTAGGCAGCCCCCCGTGGGGCAGGGTGTTACTGTGACCTGCAGGCCCAGAGTATGCTTGTGGGGTGCATGGCACAACCCTCCTCAAGCCAGGCCAGTGGCTTGCCCCAGCTTCACCCACTCTCATTTTGTTCTAGGGGCTGGAGTTCCTGGCTTCGGTTTGTCTCCCATTTACCCAGGTATATTTGGCAGCTCAGTTCCTATCTCCTAACAGCTGGGTCATGAGCCCGGCCTAGTGCCCCATCCCCCTGCATGGGCCTCTTGGCCGCACCTGGGGTCCCAGCATGGCCCTGCCACATTGTGCTGCAGTCAGGCCAACATCGACAGGCGGGGCCTGTGCACAGGGGACTATGCCCAATGGCTGGGGCCCAGGAGGGGGGCCTGTGGCCAGGGGGATGGGCCAAGGACTGGAGCCTGTGCCCATGGGACTGTGCCACTGGCTGGGGCCTATGGCCAGGAGGCTGTGCCCGCTGGCTGGGCCCTGGTCTATGCTGGCCTCCATACCGCATACACTCAGTCTGCCTGGAAGACTGATTGAGCTGGTGGAGCTGGGGCAGCCCTCAGGGGATGGTGCCAGGTCCCCTGCAAGAGGCCCCAGTTCAGCACAGGGGTGTCTAAAGGAGGGGGTGAGGCACCAACAGGACTGGCACTGAGGATTTTGCTTTCTTCCAGGTGGACTCGCTGGCCAGCTGGGATACGGCGGTGAGTGGGTGCCCGTGCCTGCCAGGGCTGGGTGAGGCAGGACTCAGTGATGCCCGGAGAACCAGCCCCTCTCCCTGGGGAAGCCCAGTGTGGCTGGGGGCCCCCAGAGCCTGCTCTCCCCAGCCCTGAGCTGGGGCAGTTTTCCCAGCTCCTGAGGACAATGCCAGGCAGCTGCCAGTGCGAGGGGGTGGGCACCGTGTCTGGGACAGGCGTGCGGCCTGTGAGCGCAAAGCCATTTGCTCTCCCCTAGGGCTCATTACAGCGCAGTGGTTTCTGCTCAGGCCCCACCTTCTCTGGTAATGGGGCATGGGGTAAGAGCAGCCCTTTCCCGATTCCTTAGGTACAGTCCCTGTGGCCTGGGGCATGGGCCCGAGACAGGTCCCCACGCCAGCCCGGCCCTGCCCAGGTGCACGCAGCCCAAACCAGCAGACACGGGCTGGGTCTCTCCTCACGTTATACATGGGGACCCTGCGGCCCCTTCCCAAGGCCTGGATTCCCCAGCACTCTGCAGCTGTGGGGCCAGATTCCCCAAGGACTGCGCCCATTGGAAACCCAGGCCCAGAGTGAATTGCCCTGGGTGGGGAGTCCTCATCTCCTGAGTGCCCGTGCAGTGCCTTAGCTCCCAGATCCACCCTCCTCAGCAGCACCCCTGCAGCAGCCAGGGGGAGTGGGTCCAGCAGCCCCAGATCCCTTACTCTGTGGAGGCAGTGGGCCCCATCACTAGTACACAGCACTTCCAGTGGGCAAGCCAGGCTCCAGTGCTGGGCTCCTCTACCCCTACCCCCCGTGCCTTCTCCCATCTGAGCAGGGGTGCCTTCTGCAGCCAGGTACCCTGACTTAGTCCCTGGCTGAATGCCTGGGAGGTGGGCCCTGCACCCAGCCTGGTGCACACAGCAGGGGCGGGCACGTCTCTGTGCCTTGCAGCTGCAGCCAGGCCCTGGGGCAAAGGGGTTCGATCGCATTGCTCTGCTGGTCGATAGGGATCGTTGGCTTCGGGGCAGGGAACCGCTCTCTGCTGCCTTTGGGAACTGGCATCCTGGATGAGCTGCCAACAGTTCTGCTGCTCCAGGGAGTCCCCCTGGGGTCCCATGAAGTGCCCCTTGTGAGAGGTGCTCGGGGGAGAGGGCCCATGAGGCACACCGCCGGTCCTCAGGCTCCCAGGGACTGTGGCTGGCAGAGCGGGGAACTGGTAGCACATGCTCCCTGCTGCCCCCTCTTGGGCTGCGCACTCATGGGGCCTGTGCTGATGGATTGTTTTCTCTGCCTCTCCACAGGAAAACCTCTCAAGACCTATGGTGGGGCCCTGGGAGCCCTGGGATACAGAGGTAGGTGTCCCCTACAGGGACTGTGCCAGACAGGGCTAAGTGGTCGCCAGGCTTTGCCAGCACACGCTGGAGGAGCAGGATAGGAAAGCCCCACTCACCGTTTGCACTTGGAAGGAGGAAGCCATGTGACCTCTCAGCCTGGGGCTCCCCCGGCCTCGTCACTTCGTGCAGCCTGGTTCTGCTGCAGCCTGGTTCTGCCTGCCACGCCAGGTGCCAGCCGAGGTGCTCATGCTGCCCATGCTCAGGCTTCTGGCCATAGCCTTGGTGCTTGGTTCGGCATGCCCCACTGCCAGGGGCTCACCCAGGCCACTCCCACTTTGGGAGCAGCCTTTGTCTCCCCACATCGCAGCTGTGCCCACAGGGCGGCAGTGGCCCGCCTCTGGCACAACAGTCAACCCTTCATTCATAGCATGTTGCTGCCTGACCTGGCCTCATGTTCGCTGCCTCACGCAGCAGCCCGTTTGTCAGGCTGGGGAGAGCCCACGCCCTCCGCAGCGTTGTGCCCGGGCCGGGAGCACATCACACCGCTCGCCCAGCCGGCAGCAGGGAGCCTGTTGGCCTACGCCATCACCACCAGGCGGCAGCCTCGTGTCCCACACCCTGCTGCCCCTGTCTGGGGGGAGCCCAGGGGCTTGGAGTGCTGGGACTGACGCCCTCTTTTGTCCCCTGCCAGGTGGCGTGGGCTGTGCGCAAGGGAAGTACTGTGGCAGGAAGCGGAAGTAACCCAGCCAGGCTGCTACCATTAACCTCATGAACTTTGGTGCTACTGCATGGTCTAGAATGTAAACCCTGAGTAAAGCAGCGATCCCGCCCCATCCCCCGTTCCCCCGCCAGCCCCCCGGAGGGAATTCCATGGCCCCTGATGCTCCCTTCGCTCCGGCCCAGGGGTCCCTGCCCTCTCTCCAGCGGGAAGCACAGAACAAACTGTGGGAAATGCCGTTCCCACTGGTGCTAAAGCTCCCTGCAGGGAGAGCTGGGCAGGCCTCCATGGGGCAGGACTGGACCCTCCCCAGGGGACGGGAGCCATGGGCCCTCGGGGAGGAGGAGATGGGGGCTGGTTTCCAAGAGGACAGCAAGGGGCTGGGCTCCACCTGCCTCCAGCATATGGGCAAATGACCCATCAGCAGTGCCCAGGCCCAGCATATCCCAGCTGCTCCCAAGACTCCGTCCAGCTGGCCAGGAACTGCTTAGCAGCTAGCCAGCCTTGATCCCCCGCCCCTCATGTCTGTCAGCCCCCTCCGTGCCTGCCCGCCCCAGTGCCCACGCTGCGGGATGCCACGGGATGGGGCTTGTGGGCTCCATGCAGGCGGGCAGGGGAATTCCTCCTGCTCTGACACTCATGCCAGCGGGGCCTGTAGGGGCTCATGGGTGGGTTAAATTCGCCTAGAGTTCTTTGCGGTGGGGCCATCTGATTGGCTGACGCGTCCCCACGCTGGAGGACACGGCCCTTCCGGTGTGTGGGGAGGGGTTGGCACTATCAGCAGAGCCAAGTCACTAACACTGATGGGATTAGCCATGTGCCCGCCCTCACTCAGCAGTACTGTACGGGCAGCCAGCGCCAGCCCAGCCCTGCCATGTCTCTGAGGCCCCGCTGGGACCTGCCCTTCCTCTTGCCCTGGATGCCCGTGTGTTCCTGAGCCGTGGGCCGGAAGGAATCGCACCTCTCCATGTTACTCACTTGGTATAGCTCGGGTGGGACATGTTATAAAGAGGGAAAGTAACTGCTTCCAAACGACTAATAAACAATGATTTCTAAAGGACTGCAGCCTCCTGCTTCTTCTTCGCTGCTTCTCCAGACCCAGAGCTGGCGATCCACCCCAGCAATCTGTCCCCCCAACCCCCCCAGGATTTGGCTTGCACCCCCCCGTCCCCAGGGATCCATCCTGCCCCCCAGGATCCTCACACACACACACCCCAAACGGTTCTGCCCTGCCTTCCCAGGATCCTCACAGCCTCCCACCCCCTGGGGATCCTCCCTGCCCACCTGGGGATCTGCCCCACCCAGTTCCTCACTGCACTTGTCCGGGACTCACCCCATTTCTCCAGCTCTACTGCCTGCAGCACCTGGCCCCTTCTGCTGCAGGTGTCTGCCATGTAATGTGCCCATTCCGCATGGGGCTACATCAACCCCTGTTGCCAGCTAGAGTCTCTCTAGGGCTTCTACTCCTGTGCTCTCGCTGCTGGCACTCACAGGGCACTGCTGCAGGGAAGCTCACAGTGCTGGTGGCCTGCTGGGACTGAGGTCACAGTGAAGTTGTGCTATGTTCGTGTTAGATTGCTGGCCTGCCAGAGTCTGGGGCAGCAGGACGGAGCTGAGCACTGTGCTGGAGCCAGGCAGGGAGTGACTGGACTAGCAGGTGTGTTCACCCTGCACAAGCAGGGGCTGGAGTGTCCACACACAGGGTCAGCCCCCTGCCCCCAGCCCAGCTGCAGTGGGAGCCAAGCTACAGTCCCCTGAAGAAGAGGGTTTAGGTGCAGCAATAACTGGGCTCTGTGCTGAGAGACACCAAACCAAAGTCCTCTCCGGAGCACTAAGGCCAGCAAAATGAGGCCAGGAGCAGAGCAGCCCATAGCTAGAGTTGCCAGGCATCCAGTTTTCTACCAGAATGCCTGGTTGTAAAGGAACCCTGGTGGCTCCGGTCAGCACTGCTGACTGGGTGGCTAAAAGTCCCACTCGGCGGCGCAGTGGGCTCAGCCTGCCCTGGCTCTGTGTGGCTCCCCGAAGTGGCTGGCATGTCTGGCTCCTAGGAGCAGGAGTGGCCAAAGGGAGCTCTATGCACTGCCCCTGCCCTGAGCACCAACTCCACAGCTCCCATTGGCCGGGAACCACGGCCAATGGGAACCACGGCCAATGGGAACCACAGCCAATAGGAACTACGGCCAATGGGAGCTATGGAGGCAGTGCCTGTGGGCACAGCAGCACGCGGAGCCCCCTGGTCCCTCCACCTAGTAGCCAGACATGCCAGCCACTTCCGGAAGCCACCTGAGGTAGGCACCGCATGGCCACAGCCCGCACTCCACACCCCTCAACTCCATTCCAGATCCCACACCCCAAACCCCCTGCCCCAGCCCGGAGCCCGCTCCCACACTCCAAACCCCTCAACCCCAGCCCAGAGCCCCCTCCTGTACCCCAAGCCTTCATCCCCAGCCCCACTCCAGAGCCCGCACCCCCAGTTGGAGCCATCACTCCCCCCCCCACCTCCTGCCCCAGCCCAGAGCCCCCTCACTCACCCCAAATCCCTCATCCCCAGCCCCATCTCAGAGCCCACACCGCCAGCCAGAGCCCTCACCCCCTCCTACACCCCAACCCCCTGCCCCAGCCCTGAGCCCCCTCCAGCACCCTGAACCCCTCATATCTGGCCCCACCCCAGAGCCCTCACCCCTTCCCGCACCCCAACCCCCTGTCCCAGCCCAGTGAAAATGAGCGAGGGTGGGGGAGAGCAAGCAACAGAGGGACGGGGGATGGAGTAAGCGGGGGGCGGGGCCTTGGAGAAGGGGCAGGCAGGGGTCAGGCAAGGATGTTAGGATTTCTGCAATCAGAAAAGTGGCTACCCGTAGCTGGCATGCATAGTGCGTGTGTCACAAGGCAGGCATGCCTGCCCAGACCGTAGAGCAGTGATCCTCAGCCTCAGACTGAGGCTAGCAAGCTGCAAGCGGCGATTCAATGCTCCTTGCAGCACCTGACTTTAAAACTCTGGGTGATTTAATTATTAACCAATCTAAGTTAGTAACCAATGAGCATGCTTTTACTATGTAATTAATCAATTGCAGTTGATAAATAATGCTTGGCCAGTCATTTTGCTGTGAGAATAATAGATATAAAACAATAGTAAATGAGCCAATGAAGTCACATGACTGTGGCTCTTCTGGGCATAAGAACATAAGAACGGCTAGACTGGGTCAGACCAAAGGCCCACCCAGCCCAGTATCCTGTCTGCTGACAGTGGCCAATGCCAGGTGCCCCAGAGGGAGTGAACCTAACAGGTAATGATCAAGTGATCTCTCTCCTGCCATCCAGCTCCACCCTCTGACAAACAGAGGCTAGGGACACCAGTCCTTACCCATCCTGGCTAATAGCCCTTAACGGACTTAACCTCCATGAATTTATCCAGTTCTCTTTTAAACCCTGTTATAGTCCTAGCCTTCACAACCTCCTCAGGCAAGGAGTTCCACAGGTTGACTGTGCGCTGAGTGAAGAACTTCCCTTTATTTGTGTTAAACCTGCTACCCATTAATTTCATTTGGTGGCCCCTAGTTCTTATATTATGGGAACAAGTAAATAACTTTTCCTTATTCACTTTCTCCACACCACTCATGATTTTATAGACCTCGATCATATCCCCCCTTAGTCGCCTCTTTTCCACGCTGAAAAGTCCTAGCCTCTTTAATCTCTCCTCAGATGGGACCCGTTCCAAACCCCTAATCATTTTAGTTGCCCTTTTCTGAACCTTTTCTAATGCCAGTATATCTTTTTGGAGATGAGGGGACCACATCTGTACGCAGTATTCAAGATGTGGGCGCACCATGGATTTATATAAGGGCGATAAGATATTCTCCATCTTATTCTGTATCCATTTTTAAATGATTCCCAACATCGTGTTTGCTTTTTTGACTGCCGCTGCACACTGCGAGGACGTCTTCAGAGAACTCTCCACAATGACTCCAAGATCTTTCTCCCGGTTAGTTGTAGCTAAATTAGCCCCCATCGTATTGTATGTACAGTTGGGGTTATTTTTTCCAATGTGCATTACTTTACATTTATCCACATTAAATTTCATTTGCCATTTTGTTGCCCAATCACTTAGTTTTGTGAGATCTTTTTGAAGTTCTTCACAGTCTGCTTTGGTCTTAACTATCTTGAGCAGTTTAGTATCATCTGCAAACTTCACCACCTCACCGTTTACCCCTTTCTCCAGATCATTTATGAATAAGTTGAATAGGATTGGTCCTAGGACTGATCCTTGGGGAACACCACTAGTTACCCCTCTCCATGTTGAAAATTTACCATCTATTCCTACCCTTTGTTCCCTGTCTTTTAACCAGTTCTCAATTCATGAGAGGATCTTCCCTCTTATCCCATGAGAACTTAATTTACGTAAGACCTTTTGGTGAGGGACTTTGTCAAAGGCTTTCTGGAAATCTAAGCACACTATGTCCACTGGATCCCCCTTGTCCACATGTTTGTACTCTAGTAGAACAGTAAGAACTCTAGTAGATCAGTAAGACATGATCTCCCTTTACAGAAACCATGTTGACTTTTGCCCAACAATTTACGTTCGTCTATGTGTCTAACAATTTTATTCTTTACTATTGTTTCAACTAATTTGCCCGGTACTGACGTTAGACTTACCGGTCTGTAATTGCCAGGATCACCTCTAGAGCCCTTCTTAAATATTGGTGTTACATTAGCTATCTTCCAGTCATTGGGTACAGTAGCTGATTTAAAGGACAGGTTACAAACCAATCATAGTTAATAGTTCCACAATTTCACATTTGAGTTCTTTCAGAACCCTTGGGTGATGCCATCTGTTCCCGGTGACTTGTTACTGTTAAGTTTCTCAATTAATTCCAAAACCTCCTCTAGTGACACTTCAATCTGTGACAATTCCTCAGATTTGTCACCTACAAAAGACAGCTCAGGTTTGGAAATCTCCCTAACATCCTCAGCCATGAAGACTGAAGCAAAGAATTCATTTAGTTTCTCTGCGATGACTTTACCGTCTTTAAGTGCTCCTTTTGTATCTCGATCGTCCAGGGGCCCCACTGGTTGGTTAGCAAGCTTCCTGCTTCTGATGTACTTAAATAACATTTTGTTATTACCTTTTGAGTTTTTGGCTAGCTGTTCTTCAAACTCCTTTTTGGCTTTTCTTATTACATTTTTACACTTAATTCGTTTATGCTCCTTTCTATTTACCTCACTAGGATTTGACTTCCACTTTTTAAAAGATGCCTTTTTATCTCTCATTGCTTCTTTACCTGGTTGTTAAGCCACAGTGGCTCTTTTTTCGTTCTTTTACTGTGTTTTTTAATTTTGGGTATACATTTAAGTTGGGCCTCTATCATAAATATAAAGGGAAGGGTAACCACCTTTCTGTATACAGTGCTGTAAAATCCCTCCTGGCCAGAGGCAACATCCTGTTACCTGTAAAGGGTTAAGAAGCTCAGCTAACCTGGCTGGCACCTGACCCGAAGGACCAATAAGGGAACAAGATACTTTCAAATCTTGGGGGTGGGGGGGAAGGCTTTTGTTTGTGCTCTTTGTTTGTGTGTTGGTTCTCTCTTGGGACTGAGAGAGGCCAGATAGAAATCCATCTTCTCCAACCCATCCTAATCCAAGTCTCCAGTACTGCAACCAGTGTAGGTAAGCCAGGCAAGGCGGATTAGTTTATCTTTTGTTTTATGTAAATTTTCCCTGTGCTAAGAGGGAGGTTTATTCCTGTTTTCTGTAACTTTAAGGTTTTGCCCAGAGGGGGATCCTCTGTGTTTTGAATCTGAATACCCTGTAAAGTATTTCCCATCCTGATTTTACAGAGGTGATTTTTACCTTTCTTTTTTTTTAAAAAAACCCTTCTTTTAAGAACCTGACTGATTTTTCCATTGTTCCAAGATCCAGGCGTTTGGGTCTTTGATGATTTTGTAACCAATTGGTTAGGATATTATTCTCAAGCCTCCCCAGGAAAGGGGGTGTAGGGCTTGGGGGGATATTTTGGGGGAAGATGTCTCCAAGCGGGCTCTTTCTCTCTTCTTTGTTTAAAATGCT